AATTTTTCCCTCCAAATATTAACACTAGTTGTCCCACATGGTACTGTTATTGGCCTGAAATGCCCTCTGAATGCCCTTCTCTAACTTTACAGGTGATTTACTCCTTTATTAAAAAGGAACCTTTATTAAAGAGGCTGCCTGCTGTTAGCTAAAAGACAGGATCCTAACGTTTTGTTCTTTCTATATGGGATCTGCACCTTCCAGTCTTCTGGCTGGTAGATGTTGGAAGCTTTGTACTGAGGTCGGCCTCAATATGCCTTGGGTGACCCAGAGAAGTGGCCTTCACAGGGTTCCTTAAATTATAATTCCTTACTCCCATTAGACCTTTTCTATAAAAGGAAAAAAGTAAACTGAGGTCCCCATACAAATTTTCTTTCATCTCAGATTGGCTCCACAATTACTATTTAGATACTCAAATGCTGGCCATTCTTTGTAAGCCACAGGATAAACATGGAAAGGAGGACCAGAAAAGCCCCTTATCAATGACAGGGCCCACCCCTACTGCTCCACCCTCTGCCTTACCTCTAAGCCACCCCAATAACCAAAACGTCCTAATGGGTGCTTCCCCCTTCAACAGGTAATGGTAGAAAGAGGGCCAATCTACGTCCCCTTCCAGCTATCAGATCTAAGGGAAATTTAAAAACATCTGGACAGCTATACTGATGCCCAGACAAATACATTCAAGCCTTTATCTCTGTGAGCCAAACCTTTCAATTGACATAAAAAAGATATTATGCTTCTACTAGACCAGACTCTTTTCTCATTAGAAAAGCAATGGGTTCTGGCCCAGGCCAGTCAGGTTAAAAATTATTACCATTTACAATAAGCCCCAATACTAGTGACACCTAGAAATGAGGAAATAAATACATCTACCTACAGGGGCACAGACAGTCTCCTTAACTGATTCACACTAAAAGGGACTAATAACTCAAGCAGTAGAGTGCCTCTTTGCAGGCATAAAACCCTGAGTTCAAATCCAGCACAAACAAAGACAAAAAAACATATTTGGGGCTAAGGAAGTAGCTCAATGGGAAAATGTCTGCCCAACATTGCAAAGCCCTGGGTTCAATTCCCCAACATTGCTAAATTTAAAAAATAAATAAATAAAAAAGATAATTAACATTAATGTCACTTCAGCCATCTCATAGTAGAAAAAAAGTAGTTTAACCTAGACCAGATCCCTCATACTTCAGATGAGGAAACTGAGGCCCAGAACAGTTCAGAGATCTGCTCTCCAGAGTGTCAAATGTCAATGTAAAATAACAACTTTGCTTTACAACAATGCCCTAAAAAAAAAGTCCCCTTACCTTTCTACAACATCTTAAGGAGGCTATCAGAAAACATACCACGATGGACCCAGAGTCACAGGTGAGAGAGGTTGTCCTCAAAGATAAATTTCTAACAGTCAGCCCCTGATATTTGTGAAAAACTCAGTCTGAAGGAGAAAAGTCACTGGACCAACTAATACAACTAGCCATATCTATATATTATAACTGGGACATTACTAACAGAGAGAAAGATAAGAGATATGACCTAATTGCTGCCCCCACCCGACTGGGGCCTACATCTTGAGTTTGCTACCATGGTGGACAGGAGGGGCACTTCTCCAGAGAATGTTTAAGGGGGGACAGCCCGGGAGACAGCCCTGCCCCCAACCAGGACCCTACCTTCTCTGCAAAGGCAACCACTGGAGGTCTTAGTGCCCCCGTCACCAGATGGAAGGCAAGGTGCCACCTCCTATGGATTGATAGGTCCCGGCCCCCTGTCCACACTCCACTTCTTGGCATCAGTGTTGAGGAGCCTCGTGGTAGCCATTATGACAAAAAACAAAAAGATCATTTTCCAGCTAGACAGTGAAGCCCATTTCTCTGTCTTATCTTTCTCTCCCGGTCCCCAGTCCAATGACAAGGTTATCATTCAGGGCAAATCTGGCCAGCCCCTACAGCACTAGTTTACTCGGCCTCTGGCCTGCTCTTGGGGAGACCTCCTCTTCTGTCACTATTTCTTCATAGTACCTAAAACTCCAATGTCCCTGCTGGGACAAGATTTACTATCATAACTAAAAACTCAAATTCTCCTCCCCCAGGCAGGTATCTCTGCTGCCTCCTCCTTCAGAAACGAATAGATCCCACAATGTGGACTGATGAGATGAATGTAAGGCCAGCCTGGATGGCCCTCCCTATTTAAATAAAACTCAAAAATCCTCACAGTTTCTACACCCAAAACAATATCCCCTCAAGCCTGAGGTCTTATGCCTATCATAAATTCCTTCAAAAACAAGGACTACTAATTAGTTACTTCAGCCCCTATGATAAATTTAAAATTTTTATAAAAGTTAATTTTAAAATACAAGTTACAAAGTAAACAACTAAAAAGGACATAGATAGATAATAAATGTATTTTTTGAAAAGTTAAAGAAAAAAAATGTTTTTGGAAGAGAAAGGATTTTATAAAGGAGGGTTTGTCCTAAAGATTGTTTCAAATAGGAGGGATAAAGACAAGCCATCAAAGGGTTTAATATGTTATATAAAGGTCTGAGTAAATTTTAAAAATGTTTAATAAAAAGCTTCAATGTATAATAAAGTTAAAGTTGAGTATAATCTGAGTTGCCTAAAAGATTTTTAGGGTCATATCAAACTAAAATCAAATTCTCTATGTCTATAAAATAACAAGGTTATCTTAATATTGTTCTGCTCTGAGTAACATGTATAAAAAACCGTTACAGAAAAAGACTTTTATCAAAGAAAGTATTTGTGTTTTCTGTTGATCTTGTCAAACTTTAAGTACTACTAAATCAGAGTTCATTTATATATATGCTCATGCAGCGGTCTCTTAAATGACCACCTTATAACTGTGTTCAGTGTCTAAACTTTATCTAAATAACAAACATTTACAAGAGTTAAAAGTGTCAGTTTATGTAAAATGATGAGCTAAATCTCTCTTTTATCCAAAAGTGTTACATTTAACCTGCATCCTGACAGTCAGCCTCTATTTGCCTTTAAAGGTCCCACAAAAGCTTCATAACGACTAACCTGGTCAGTCTTGCCAAAAGAATTTAAAGACAGCCCTCATCTTTGTGGACAGGCCCTAGCCAGAGACTTACTAGATTGGCACTACCCAGAGGCCACCCTTCTTCAATGCAGAGTCACAAAGCCCCTTATCTGCAATGCAACTGAGTCCCTTTTAAAACTTTCTGGCCTCTGGGAATACAGTCTCTAAGGAGAAGGCTCAATTATGTCTCCCTCAGGTAACTTACCTAGGTGTGTTCTTAAAGGGACAGACTCACTCCCTGAGTCATGAGTAAATCAACCCAATCTTCTGTTTCCCTCCCCCCATACCATAAGACAGCTTACAGCAAGCTTGGGAGTTATAGGATTTTACAAAATTTAGATCCCTAGGTATGCAGTCCCTTAACAGACACCTTTTTATGTTCCTCCTAATATTCCTATTTGGGTTTTAAAAAATGTATGGCCCATCCATTTCTCTTAGAAAACTCACCTCCAATAGACTCTGCTCCTCTGGCTGACTACCTGCCTTACCTTAACCTTCTCAGGGGACTTTTCAGAGAGCATGCAGACCAGATCCTGCCCTACCCTATAACAATTTCTATTAAACCAGGGGATCCTGTTCTCCTAAAAAGATCTTCTACCCTCTCTATTGGGACTTTGGTGAACCAGCCCTCATCTGGTCATTCTCACAACACCCACTGCTGTCAAGCTCAATGGGATCCCCTAGTGGCAGCACCTCTTAAGGAATGGACTCTTAAAATCCTCTAGAGAACATTTCACAGTGGTTCTCCTGGCCAATGCCCATCCTAGTGCTTATATTTCTTGCTCTCCTATTCTTAAGCTTCCTCTCTTGTATCATCTACATGTCTGCTACTGCTAATCAAAAATTTAACCAGTTGTACCTCCAGGAATATCAACCTCTCCAAAACTGCCAGGAAAAACTACTGTGAAGGCCCCGTCCAGGATGCCATAGGAGCCTGAGGATCCTGCCCCATACAATGCCCCCTGCCAGCAAGAAGCAGCTAAAGAGACTGATGCTTCACCCCAATTCCTGATCCTCAGCCCCTACCCTCATCATTATTGAACAAGAAATGGGGAAATGATAAGAACTGCCCTTTGCCACCATTCTGCAGCCTGAGCCACAGCTGGTTTCATCCCTTGCAGAACAAAGCCCCATTGTCCCTTATCTCCTGCCACCTCTCTTTGCTCCTCCCTAGCTCTTTCCTTCTCCCAAATGCTACTTAAGGCCTGACCCCCTGAGAGAAGCTGCTGCACCATTTTTAATTCTCTGCCAGCCAGCCTGCTTATTAAACTTTGGACATGAGCTACCTCTCGTGAGCCTCCTTTGTGTGTGGTGTGCAGTCTTTTCCTAACAAGTTCCACTAAGCAGAGCACTGGGAGAACAAAATTTACAAAAGTAAAAATTCTGGCTTTTCGGGTTCTTGCACTCTCCTGATGCCAGGGGCCAGAACCTCTGGTGGGTTGGGTGCATCGCTACTCTCAGCATATTTCCTTAAGGGAGGTAGGACTGCAGAAAAAAAAATTGTAAGAAGTCAGGTCACAATGTCAGAGATGTAAAAAAAACCGAGCTCTAGGTGGTTAAATGAGAAGTTCACGAGTTTCATGGCTGGCAAGAAAAAGTGGAGACCTTTCACGCAGTACCACTTGAGCCACTTGGCGGAACTTGCTCGGTGTTGGGTATTTTCAAGATAGGATCTTGCAAACTTGCCTGGGGCTGGCTTTGAACCTCAATCTTTCTGATCTCTGCCTCTGAGTAGCTGTAATTACAGGCATGAGCCACCGGCGCCCGGCTGACTTTTCTTGTTCTGGATTGACTGAACTTTATTTGCAGCACTTTAGAGTTTGAGGTATTGTCGTCCACGGTGAAATCAATGCTGGGATTCTGGTCTGGCTCTGCCCCTCGGATAACTTGTGAGGACCGCCGCTCCGCCCAGAAACTACAATTCCCGGCAGGCCCTGCGCCGGCGCCGACGCACTTCCTCCCGGCGTCCCCCGCGGCGGGAAAGAGTCGAGCGGGCTCGAGGCCGACGCGACTAACCTCTTCGCCGTCGCCGCTTCTGCTGTCGCCGTCTTGCGAGAAACTGTTGCGGCCGCCCCCGCTGGCCACCATGTCCGCCCAGGCGCAGATGAGGGCCCTGCTGGACCAACTCATGGGCACGGCTCGGGACGGTGAGTCCGGGCAGCCGGCCAGGCGTGGGGCTAGGGTGGGAGTGAGGCCAGGCCGCCGGGCGGCCTGAGTCGGGGACCATGAAGGTGTGCGCCTGCGCCGGCCGCCGATCCCCTCCCGCGCGCGCGGACCGCAGGCGCCGGGCCTTTGTGTGAACCGGTTCGCCTTCCAGGCTGCCGGCCCGCTTCTTCCTTGGCTGGCGCGGGCCCGGGCGGGCTCCTTCCTCGGAGTCCGAGCCGTCGGTGGGGCTCCAGCGCCCTCGTTTTTGCCGTCCTGCGACTTGCTCCCCGTCGGCGCCGCGGCCCCGCGGCCCTCCGCCCACGGAGGGTCTGCGAAGGGTTGAAAGCGGCGCGGGCTGCGGGTTGCTCGCCGCCGGGTGGCGGAATGCCTCCTCCGGTGCTCGGGGAAGAAGCTCCTCCCGAGGGAGCCGGACGGCCTCGAGACCCCGGGGCGTGCTCGTTCCGTCCCATTGAGGGGAGCCGCCAGTCGAGCTTTGCAGCCCCGTCCCCAGCCGCACAGGAGAGCCTGTTAGGCCGCGCTTGGCAGCGGTTAGGTAGGTTGTGCTGTAGGGAGGAGCGCACGGTCACGTTGGTTGTCTCAGGAGAACTGGTTGCGTCCTTGGAAAAAACGATGTACCTGCTGTGGTTTGTGTTTTCTTTTCTACGGAAGTAATGAAGCTGTAATTTCACACTGGCACATTCGCAGGGCCGTGCAGATTCTTTGCACTCTATTTCTTAGGTGAATAAGTGCTTTTAGCTTTCTTTGTATATTGAGTTGCTTTTGAATTGCTTCCCATATTTTTATTTCATACAAACTGAACAATTGTGGCCCCTCTATTTTATTTATAAAGGTTCAGTGTATCTTTGCCTGCCTACATCAATCTGCAAGGGAGTTGCAGAAAAGCCTCATGTTCATCGAGCCGTGAGTCACAACCAATTTCTAAGCTGTTATAACAAAAAAGTGTTTGCTTTTTTTCACAAGTAACTTTAAAAGTGTAGTTTAGAAAGAAAACATTTTCAATAAAAAAAGACACTACATTAATCCTGGATGCTTGCAAATCCTAAAATATATTCCTCCTTGACTTATTACACAATTCTGTGTCCTATACACAGATTAGCTTTAAAATTTGTCACATACCACTTTGCCTTTGCTTTTATGTATCATTCCCCCTGACTTCCTTACTGCAGGTGTGGGCAAGAAAACTTTTCCTTTAAAACTTTTCAACAGCGGGCATAAAATTCTGCAGCTGAGTTCTTGAAGAATGCAGATGGGTACAGTATGTGTTGCAGCTCACAGTGTGTATTGACTAACCTAGTTCCTTCTTGCTTTTTTGGTATTGTCTTGTTAAAAGTGACTCCCTGGTGCCAACTTTCTTTTTTAAGGGTGGGAATGAAAGGGCCATAGGAAGAATACATCTAGATTATTTAATAGTCAGTGATAGAGTTTGAAGGCTTTCTTCTTCATGTAATTTTGGGCAAAACATCATCTATGCATTTGTTCATACAAAGATTAGATTAATAAGTAGCTTTCGTTGGTGGAAATTACCAGCTATAAGTCATACGTGGTGATTCATGGCACTCTGATAACATGGGTTTTGGTATCATGTACACGTAGCCCACTTGTATATGTTGGGCTAGTGGCCTTTGGTGCTCAGCCTTTTACTTTTGACTCCTTGACTTTGGCACAATGATGGAGTCAGATCTCATTAAGTGTGATTCTTCAAGATATACTTAACCTCAGAAAAATCTGTATTCCATTCATGTTGTAAATTATTTTTAGATCAGCTTTTCAGTGTATGTGATGGGGTGAACACAGAAATGATAGTCTGCAAATCATCCAGATGAATTGTTGTACCAGATACCCTATTGTGCTTAACATGATAATACTGTCTTATTTAAAACCACAAATGAATTTCAGGAGATGAAACCAGACAGAGGGTCAAGTTTACAGATGACCGTGTCTGCAAGAGTCACCTTCTGGACTGCTGCCCCCATGATATCCTGGCTGGGACGGTAGGTGTATTTGGGGAATCTCAGTGGGACACTCTGGGTTTCAGGGGCCATTTGGCGTTGGTGATGTGGGCAATGAAGGTATTTCAGGTTGAACTCCATTTGTTTTAACACTCAGAAATCCCCTTTTGCTCCTCAAAGATTCTGTTAGTTTGGTGGAATTTAATATTAAATTATAAATTATAAATTCTGATACAAAATAAATATTCTCTTTTTTTTTCTTTTTTGTGGCACTGGGACTTGAACTCAGAGCCTCAAGTTTCCTAGGCCAGCGCTCTACTGCTTGAGCCACTCTGTCAGCCATTTTTTGTGTTGAGTACTTTTTAGGTCAGCCTGTAGTTCATTGAAGATTTGGGTGTTTTTGTTTTAAAGAACTTTTTATTAGCATATATTAATTGTAAAGGGGAGGGTTCATTGTTGGGTGGGTTTATTTGATTTCAGGTTGACTGGATGCTAGACTTTTTTCTTTAGTGGGACTGGAATTTGAACTCAGACTGTACGCTGGAAAAGCAGGCACTCTCCAGTCTATTTTGCTCTGGTTATTTTAGAAACGGAGGGAGGGGTCTGATGAATTATTTGCCTGGGCTGATCTTGAAACAGGATCCTCCAGATCTCACTCTCCCAAGTAGCTGAATATAGGAGTGAGACACCAGCACCTGGCTAGTATGCTAGTACTGGGATTAAACTCAGAGCCTCACGATTGCCAGGCAGGCCCTCTCACTGGAGCCACTCCACAAGCCCTTCCCTTAGTTTTTGATTTTGAAAAACCAGAGGGATAATATTGATTTTATAGTTTTCTAGCCCTTTCAGCATACCAGGAGATCATCCAATGACATGAACAAAATAGATAAATACTAGTTTTGTGGGATGGATGTTAATTGTAGAGAAAATCTGCCATGTTTCAACCACTTAAAGAAAAAGTTATATAAAGAAGGACTATTTGAAGGCTTCACAGCTACCTTATCAAATGTGAAAACTGTTGACTTGCTGGGCACCCCATAGCTCATGCTTGTAGTCCTAGCAACTCAGGAGGCAGAGATCAGGAGGATCTCCATTCGAAGTCAGCCGGGGCAAATACATAAAAGGGGTGGTGGAGTGGCTCAAGGTGTAGTCCCTGAGTTCAAACCCCAGTAACAAAAACAGCAACAACAAAAAAGATGTCTACTTATTCTAATGGTGATTGTGTATGTTTCAGGAAACATTTCTTCATGGTGAATCATTCATGGCTTTTTTTTTTTTTTTTTTTTTTTTTTTTTTTTTTTTTGTGACACTGGGATTTTTGAACTAGGGCTTTTATGCTTGCCAGGAAGTACTCTGCCACTTGACCTATTCCCACCAGCCCTTTTTGGAGTTGGGTTGTTTGTGTGTGTGTTTGTTTGTTTTTGCAGTACTGGGGCTTGAACTCAGGGCCTATACCTTGAGCCTCTCCAGCAGCCCTTTTTTTATGATGGGTTTTTTTTTCTGAGATATGATATTGTGAACTGTTTGCCTGGGGCTGGCTTCAAACTGAGATCCTCCTGAGTAGCTAGGATTACAGGAGTGAACTTGCACCCAGCTTAAGTATGTAAATATGTATTATTATTATTTTATTTTTGATGGGACTGGGGTTTGAACTCAGAGCCTCATGCTTGCTAGACAGGAGTTATACCACTTGAGTCACCAGGGTGCTCCCCTCCCACCCCCCCTTTTTTTTTTTTTTTTTTGTAGCTGGGGTCTTGCTAACTTCTCCCTAGCCATAAACCATGAGCGTCCACATCTCTGCCTCCCACATAACTGAGATTACAGATATGAGCCATTGTGTTCAGCCTTGGGGCCTCATACTTGCTAGGCAAGTGCTCTACCACTTGAGCCACGCCTCCAGTTCTTCTTTGACTTTAGTTATTTTTCATATAGGGTCTCATACTTTTTCTCCAGGCCAGCCTGGATGGAGATGCAGCCTCCTGAGTCTCCTTGTTTGTTGAGATGGGGTTGTGGTTGGGGGGGCGGGGCTCTTCCTAACTTTGCCTATGTGGGCCTTGAACCTCTGTCCTCCCAATCTCCATATGCCGTGTAGTTGACTTTGCAGATATGAGCCATCATGCTTGTCCAGTGAGTGAACTGGGTGTTTTTTTGTTTTGTGGAACTGGAGTTTGAACTTAGCTTCAAAGCAGGTATTGTACTGCTTGGGTCACACCTCCAGTACATTTTGCTCTGGTTATTTTGGAGATGGGGTCTTGAAAACTATTTGTCTGATCTGGCCTTGAACTGTGATCCTGATTTCAGCCTCCCAAGTAGCTAGGATTACAGGGGCTAGCCATCAGTTCGCTGCTTAGTGAGCTATTTTAATAGGATGATGAGGGAAGGCTTCTCAGAGACATTTGAGTAGAAACTTGAATGATAGAAGAGAACACGTGTTAAGTTCAGGGGCATAGTGCTATAGGTGGAGAAGAGAGCAGAGGTCAGAGGAATGCTGCTGCTGTATCTGGACTGGTGTGGGTTAAGGGTAAGGGTGGAAGGAGGCAGAGGCAGTGGGATCAAATGAGTAAAGAAGTCATGACTGGGTGAGGTCACTCGAGTTTTGGGGATTGGGTAGGGGCAGCTCAGTAGAGGGGTTTATTGGAGAAGAAGCAGTTTGAGGGGGAACAGGAAACTCAGGATATCTGTATGCACATGAGGAAAATACTTGGCAAAGGTGGGAATAAACAAATGTCAGGATCCATTGAAGTTAGTTAGGGTTAAGATTGGGAATTCATACCAAGTCAAGCCTGTTAACAGCTTTCTACAATGGGTAAGGTTCATGTGTAAATTTTTTGTTTCCTACAGCGGATGGATTTAGGAGAATGTACCAAAATCCATGACTTGGCCCTCCGAGCAGATTACGAGATTGCAAGTAAAGAAAGAGATCTGTTTTTTGAATTGGACGTAAGTTTTATTTGGTGTTGATTCATTCCTACTGCAAAGAACCTAATAGTGAACTACAGAGAATAGTGTAATTGTAATGTTTATAAGTTATGGAGCAAAATACTAAGAACAGGAACTTGATGTCCCATTACTCTAGCTGAGCACTAGAACATGGCCAGTACCATCTTATATCTGTGTGTCTGTCAACCTATTAACTGTCCTGAATTTTGTATGTATCTTTTTTGTTATTGTTGTTTAATATGTATGGTACTGTGGTTTGAACTCTGCCTACACCTTGAGCCCCTCCACCAGCCCTTTTTTGTGATGGTTCCCCCCCACACACAGCTGTGATGGGTTTTTTTGAGATGGGGTCTCTTGAACTATTTGCCAGGGCTGGCTTTGAACCACATCCTCCTGATCTCTGCCTCCTGAGTAGCTAGGGTGATAGTCATGAGCCACTGGCGCTTGACAGCCTTGAACTCTTGATCCTCTTGCCTCAGCCTCCTAAGTGCTGTGATTACATGTGTGTGTCACTATGCCTGCCGCACAGTTAAGTCTTTCTTTTTGTTTTTTTTTTTTTTGTTGTTTTTGTGGTAGAGTTTGAACTTAAGGGCTCAGGCTTGCTGGGCAGGCACTTTACTGCTTGAGCCACTCCACTAGTCCCCTGCACAGATAGTCTTAACTTGATTTTTTTTTTCATTCAATACACATTCTATTTCTCCATGTTGTTGGGCATGTTTATATGTTTTTAATCCTGCTTTAATATTTCACAAAGTATCTTCTCTATTCATAGACATTTGGATTGATTCTGGGTTTTATATAGGGTATACTCCTAGGAGCCTAATACTACAGTGCATACATTCCCACCAGTGCCTGGTACTATCAGATTGTTTGACTTTTACAATTTAGTGGTTGAAAAATGGCATTTTATTATGGTTTCAATTTACATTTGTTTAGTATTCATTAGTTGTAATTTTTTTTTTGTTAGTAAATCCATTTAGAACAGGATTTTTCAATCTTTTTCATTATTGCCTTCTGTGATATTTTATGTGTTTGTTTATTATGATTCTTTGTTAGTCTATAAACCATTATAATACATAAGATGTTTTTGACTTTGTGTGTGTGTGTGTGTTGCCTGAGAATCAAACCCAGGGCCTTGCCTAGGCTCTACCACTGAAGTATGTCTCAAGCCTTTTTTTTTTTTTTAACCCTTTAAGGTCAGTTCCGTTGAGCATGCACGATTTGAATCATCCCATTTAAATTCCTTTTTATATCTGATTCTCTATTACTAGTATTACCAGCGCTCAAAAAAGAGAGGTTTAATGTCATTCAGGTTCTTGAGTGAAGACTAGGAAGGCACTGAGCAGAGTGTGAGGGTGCCAGTGGATAAAGACCCACAAAACTCAATGTTTTCTTTCCTTCTTCCCCAAAAAATTGCATTTTAGAGTAAGTGCTATGGAAATCAGTAGTCATAAAAAATTAAATGAAGTGGCTCAAGTGGTAGAACACCTCCCTAGCAGCATGAGGCCTCGAGTTCAAACCCCAGCAGCTCCTAGGTGTCCCTATCATGAAATTAGTATCTGGAATCATTGTAGTGTGGTCATCACTACTGTGGTAGTGTGGTCATCACATGAACATAAGCTTAATTTTCACAAGCTGCAGATCACTAATAATTTATTCAGTTTTTTGGTTTTTTTGAAACAGGATCTCAATGTAGCTTAATTTTCACAAGCTGCAGATCACTAATAATTTATTCAGTTTTTTGGTTTTTTTGAAACAGGATCTCAATGTAGCCTAGGCTGGTCTTAAACTCCTGACATTTATTGAGCAATTTTAAATCAAATATGTTGAATACAATCATCATTTGAGTTATATTTTATTTATTTATTTTTGGGTGGGACTGTGCTTTGAACTTGGCTTCAAGCTCCCTGTACTGAGTGAAGCCCTGAGTTCAAACCCTTAAAAGGTTCTATTGTACCTTTCTTTCCATTTAGAATGTTTCAACTGGAGCTGTGGTCATGGCTCAAGTGATAAGAGTGCCTGCCTAGCAAGTGAGGCCCTGAGTTCCAGAACCCCATTACGACAAAAAGGAAAGAAAGAAAGAAAAGGTTCAACTGCAGATTGGCTCCTACAGAACAGATTTAAATGATAAAAAAAAGATTAGGGTCAAAAAATCAGATCTTCACTACAATCTACCACTTACTAAAAAGCTATACAAAATGTATAGCCATCTCAAGGGGTAGTGTGATGAAATACAAATTCCTAAAAGCACCTGAGCATACCCAGCACTGAGCCTGGCCTAGGAACCATCTTCCAGAGAGTTGGGGCCTGCAAACATAAGGCCAGAAAGCAAAATTAAAATAATATTCATCATAATAAGAATAAAGACGATTGAGAGGGGGTGGGGGCGGGGGGAGAAATGACCCAAGCCTTATATGCACATATGAATAATAAAAGAAAAAAAAAAAAAAGACAATTGAGGTTCAAGACCAGCCCAGGTAAATAGTTTGAGAGGTCCCATTTCCAAAAACAGTGAGAGCAAATTTGACTGGAGATGTGGCTCAAGTGGTACAAAGTGTGAAGGCCTGAGTTTACTGAGTTCAAACCCCAAACTCAGAAAAAAAAAAAAAAAGGACAGTTGGGGATGTATTTGCCCACAATCATATGGCAGCTGTATCAAAGTCCAGGATGGCTCAATAGCACAAAAGTAATAGAAGAGAAAAATAAACAAGGAAGGTTATTGTGAGCATTCTATTTAAGAATTAACATCTTAAGTGAAAGTTAGCCATGTTCACAAAGAACAAAAGGACAACTGATTTTGTTCTCAAATGTTGGAATATAACCTATAACAAGATCCAAGCATAATTATGAAAATACCAGGTTCTACACTATGGGAGTTCATAATCATAGAGAGGGAGGGTAAAGAAGGAAGTTAGAAGATGAATATGGTTTGATATACTTTATTGTATACAAGAATAAATATAGCAATTTTAAAACTGTTGATACCACCATATAGGAGGGGTCTAGGTAGTAAGTGAGAAAAAATAGAGGAAATGAACCAATTTGGGTTATAAAACATTATACATGGAAATGTAGAAGGGAAACTCCCTGTATAGCTATTTTTACCCAAACAAATTGTCATTTCTTTTTTAAAAATAGAGAACAGGAGGACAGAACAAGTTCTGGCTGGGAAGTTTGTACCAAGAAAAGAGAGTGAATATGTCTGAATACTGTTGCGCATGCAATGTTTGTAAATGGACAAAATGCTATTTGTTGAAAACTATGTCCGGATATGGGAGGGATATATGGATAATGATGGAGGGGTGAATTCAAACTATAATATATTGTAAGAACCTTTTGGTTAAACTGTCACAATGTACCACCAGCACAACAGTAATAAAAAAGTAAAAAAATACTAGGGGTGAACCACAAAACACAGCAGGCAAGAATGAGAGGAGCTTGTCGGGTCTGAGGAGAGGACAAGAGTATCTCGTCACTCTTCCTGAGAAAGTAGGAGATATGAGCTACAAGGAGGCCTGTTAAAATGCTGGCACAGGAGGTCGGGATTGAAGATATGTATGGGAGTCCTCGATTTCCCATTGCTTCTGGTTGCCTACAGGGGGCAGAAAGGGCACAGGGAGGAAGGCCTCAGTGCTGCTCACCAGTCTGTATTTTTAAGGCCTTGCCTTGTACCATATGATTTAAAAAGGGCTGGAGTGTGATTTAAGTGGTAGAGCACCTGCCTAGTAAGCAGCAGGCTATATTCAAACCCCAGTACTGGATGTGAGGGCGATCTGGCTGTGACATCTGTCACCCCATTGATCTCCAGGGTTGATTCTGCTGATCTGGCTGGCTAGGTGGGTGTCCCCTTCCTCCCTCATGGCTCCATGTGCATCCCTCTCGAAGCTGCGCGCTTGGTTGAAGAGGACGACCATCCTCAATAGAGGAGGTCCGTTCTTCGGTCAAGGGTATACAAGTAGCTGTGCTCCCCTGCTAGAACCTCCAAACAAGCTTTCAAACCCCAGTACTGCCAAAAAATAAAACAGGAATTTAAAAAATACATGACTCTGACAACAAACAAAAAAGTGCTTTGTGTCTGTTTTGCTTATGATGATCTCAGCAAAATTTTTTTTAGTGGTGGGGAAACTGAACCTGGGGCCTCACCCATGCTAGGTGAGCACTCTACCACTGAGATACACACCCAGCTCACATCATACCTATATTTGGTCTACAGATGTGCAATATTTCACTGTTTTTTAACTCAACTACTTTAATTCCTCCAATGAACACGTTTTGCATTTTTTTTAAACTTCTTTACTCATTCAAAATGGCCCAATACATGTCTTCTCTTAGACAAATATATCTGCTGGACGGTTTCTTAACAATTTCTTAGCGATAACTCAGTGTATATAAAAATTTTAAATAGTTGATTTTTTTTTTTTTTTTTTTTCCCCGCTGGGGTTGAACTCAGGGCTCATGCTTGCTAGGCAGAATACCCTGTCACTTGAGTTACATATCCAGCCCAGTCATTCAGTTTAACAAAACTTATTTGTGGTTAGAGCTTTGATTATGAAGGTGTTATCTGTAGTTAGATCTTTCCATGGATACTATGGGAATTAATAAACTCACCCACATGTGTATCGCGATTGCACAAGCTGCATCCTTTGTTGATCATAGCTTTCTGCTTTTCCCGAGCTAGGCAATGGATCACTTGGAATCCTTCATTGCAGAATGTGATCGGAGGACTGAGCTTGCCAAGAAAAGGCTGGCAGAAACACAGGAGGAAATCAGTGCAGAAGTTTCTGCAAAGGTATGTCTGGTGGCTTTGCTGTAAAAGCACTGTCTGAAGGCAGGCATATGATGAACACCTGTAATCCCAGTACTCAGGAGACCAAGGTAGGAGGATCAGGAATTCAGTGCCAGCCTGGGCTATACAGTGAGACATGTCTTGAAAAACCCAGGACTGGGGTTGGGGGCATAGCTTAGTGGTATAGTGCTTGCCTAGCTTTTTTTTTTTAAGCGGCACTGGGATTTGAACTGTGCCTCTTGCTTAACTTCGGCAGGTGCTCTACCACTTGAACCACTCTGCCAGCCCCAAGGTGCTATTTTCTGAAGGTAAATTCTAGTAGTTAGCTATTTTGCTTGCAGCAAAATAAGTTTGTGTATAAATTTAGACATTTTGTTATTCATAACAGAAGACTGAACTATGATAGAAGACATAAAGCGATCCAGAAATGATAAATGTGTTGAAGGATCCTTGAAACAACTTTGGAAGTGACAGGGTGCCACTACTCTTACTGGAACATAGCACCCAGGTTTAGGTTGTGGTTCGTCTTCATTGTGGCAATAAACATGTCCTAATTTTTAAAATGTGCATGTGACTTAAGTATGGATCCTAAGGTGTTCCATTTATTTTCAGTCAAAGAAACTGGAACAGAAATACTTTGTTTCCTTTGCATTCAGAATCTTGGTGTTAGGTCTCTGCTTACCTGAATCTCTCCCTTCAGGCAGAAAAAGTACATGAGTTGAATGAAGAAATAGGAAAACTTCTTGCTAAAGCTGAGCAGCTAGGAGCTGAAGGAAATGTGGATGAATCCCAGAAGATTCTTATGGAAGTGGAGAAAGTTCGTGCGAAGAAAAAAGAAGCTGAGGTTGGTGAAAGAAATGTCTTTAAAAAAAGGGAAGTATAAGTGCCTGAGCATAGGTAATCTAGGCACTTGAATGGGAGGCTGAGGCAGGAGGGTTGGGAACTTGAGGCCAGCCTGGGCTACATACCTCTCAACAACAAGAAAGTTGGGCATGGTGGCACTAAAGCTAGGCGCTTGTAATTCCAGAGGCAGGAGTTTTGCAAGTCCAAGGCCATTCTGAACAACCCAGTGAGTTCCAGGTCAGCTTGGGCTGAATAGAGAAACCCAGTCTCAACGTCCCCACAAAAACATCACCACAAAACCCAAAAAGGGCATGGGTGTTAGTAATTTGATAAAGTTGACCACCTGGATTAATGTTAAGCAGCTCCTGCATTTTTTTCTTTTTCATTAATAACTTTTGTTACTAATGAAATTAATAATAGTCACGAATTCAGAGGCAGAGAACAGGAGGATCAAGATTCGAAGCCAGCCCCCAGCAAATAGTTTGCAGAAAAATACCCAGCGGAAAACAGAGCTGGTGAAGTGGCTCAAGTGGTAGGGCACCTGCTTGCCTAGCAAGCATGAGACCCTGAGTTCAAGTCCCAGTCCTACAAAAAAATGTGCTTGAACTATGTCCTACATAGAATAACCATGAGTATGGTCTAGGCATGGTGCCTCATGTAATCTCAGCTATTCAGGAGGCATAAATCAGGAGGATCCACATTTAAGGCCAGCCAGATTAGCAAGACCGAATCTCAGTCTATAAGATGGTTGATATGATGGGAGACTGTAGTTAGGAGAATTGCAGTCTGAGGCCAGCCCTGGGCAAAAATGTGAGACTTTGCCTGAAAAAATAAAAGAAAAGGGCTGTCAATGTGGCTCAGATAGTAGATTGCCTGCTAAGCAAGTTTGAGGCCCTGAGTTCAAATCTCACTGCTGCAACTTAAAAAAGGAAAAAGAACCATGAGTGCAGCAGTTGCAGGTACCCTGTGTGGTATTGGCATAGTGTCATGACTTCTGAAGCACTTGGTAACATTTAAGCAGCCTCCATTTCTGGGAGATTGAGTACCTATTTAAACTCCCAACAGTTCTGTATGTTTGTATGTATGACAGAGTCATGCTTACTGGAACAGAGAGTCAGGATCCTTAGTGCATTCTAAGCCCTTGCCCTTTCTGTTCCAGGAACTGACACCAGCAAACCCTTGATGACTCAAAGATATGTACTGTAGCTAAAGTCCAAGTGGTTGAGATAGGAGCAGAATGTGGAATGTGTGGCTGGCCATGTCCAGTACTCTTGGTATCTGTATCGCCTTCTCTTGTTTTCTTTCCTCATCATCGAATGCTACCCCTAGGAGGGAATACTACTGTAAGACCAATGGGGAAAAGTCTGGTGGTATGGGGTGAGGCTGACAAGAGTTGATTTCTGCAGCATGTGGCACCTTAGGAGTCCTTTCTACTCTGGGTAGCAGCAAGAATGTGCAGTAGTTGCTTCTAGTGGTTTAGAAACTGAGGGTTGCCTCAGTTTTAAAATTTTATTTATTTATTTGTTTTCTTTTTGCTGTACTGGGACTTGAACTCAGTGCCTACATGTTTTTTTTTCCCCCCCCATGTCTCGCAACTCACAATACAGACCAGGCACAGGGCCTGGGCTGAAGTGTATATGGGGTAGGTTTACTTTGCCTCCTGTTTCAATACAGTCAGTATAAGAACACAGCCTGTGGTAAGTACCAGGAGGCCCAGTGCGTACATCTTGAGCCACTGCACCAGCCCTTTTTTTGTGATGGGTGTTTTTGAGATAGGGTCTTGAGAACTATTTGCCCTGATTGGCTTCAAACTTCGGTCCTCCTGAGTTGCTAGGATTACAGACATGAGCCCTGGTGCCCCAACTTGAACGAGTGTTCTAACCAAATGCAAGTAGCAATAACCATGCACCTGGTCTCTTTTTGCATTTGGTATATTTTTCCTTGAGGCTGAGGAGATGCTTCCTGTAACTATATTTGGGTTCTGCAGTGGCTTCTGGAAGAAGCATATTTTATTCCATTATTTTCTCTTTGAAGACTGTGTCTGCAGTGTATTTGGCCTTGTGTGTTTTAACTTTTGGAACTATATTGTGAGATTTCCTGAATATTAGGACATACCTTCATGGCTTGGTCTGTGTCTTTTGCAAGATATTCTCTTGCTTCTCTGATCCTTACAAGTCTTTCATGCAGAGCACAGACCTGTCTTCTCTGCTGGTCTCCGAGAACATACAGTCCTGCTTATCTGAGTGTTTTGAATATTCCTTGTTGCTTTGATGAATATTAGTTTATTTCTTAAACCATGGAAATTGAATTGGTTAATGTGTCTGAAACTTTGTGAACATGGTAGTTTTTAATGTTTTCTGAAAAGTTATCTCTGTTGTCTCATCAAGTAATTTCATTTTGGAAAGTGATAACATGGAGGTAGTTCTGAATACCTCATTTTCATGTCTATTCTGTCTTCCAGGAAGAATACAGAAATTCCATGCCTGCATCCAGTTTTCAACAGCAAAAGCTGCGTGTCTGTGAAGTCTGTTCAGCCTACCTTGGTCTTCATGACAACGACCGTCGTTTGGCAGACCACTTCGGGGGCAAGTTACACTTGGGGTTCATTCAGATCCGAGAGAAACTTGATCAGCTGAGGGTACGTTAACATATTCTGTTTCTAGAGAAGCCTGAGGAGTCTTATTAGTGTTTCTGTGTTTCTTTGATTTTTGAAAATCATCTGTTTCCCTCTGATAACTTGAGCTTTATAATGAAATACTCAGATTTTATTACTTGTGTTTGCACAAGAATCAGGAAATCTTAGAATCCAATGAAGCCTTGAACATTTATTTAGTTTTCCATCCCTTTGTGGAAAAAAAAAAAAGGCAGAGTGCAGCCCTGGGATGAGAAGGCTATTTGCACGCCTCTGAAATAACTTCTGTGTGGTCAGGCTTCTGCCTTGTCTTTGAGCCTCCTCAGAAAGGTAAGGAGGTGATGGGTTTTTTTTTCCTGGTAGCATTGTACCACCCTGACTCAGACAACCTCTATTCCTTTCTCAAAGTTCCTTATTTTCCTAAATTAGGACCTGAACTTTAAAATCCTAAGTACTAAATACCAAGAAGAAAGATTGAACATGTTTCTGATATTTTGAATTTTCATGCTTCAAACTAATAATACTGCATATTAGGGCTGTGATAAGGTGTAGGCATTTGGCCTTCCCTCTATACACCCGAGGTGTGAGGGAGAAACAAACAAACATTCTGTATTCTACACCTGACTGCAGAATGTAGAATGCTACGGTAATTGAGGCCTCTTTTAGGGCTGGGGGCTTGAGTGCCCTTACAAAGGATCTGCTCATTTGGGCAGCACATATTAGGGCTTTGCACCCAAGGAAGGATCCCTCTAGGAGACATGTAAACTTTGTACTTGGAACTGATGTTGCACGGGTGTTCTTGAAATATTTTACTTTTCTCTTCTCAGCATTTGGACAAGCAGTGTACTTAATCACATTTTAAAGTCACAGTTTCCACTCCTGTTTATAGTTATAAACATCTTATATGTATGCAGTAGAATATAAATAACCATTTGCTCTCCACTACGATCCCATTTGGGAATGCTGTATTCCCATTTCTCCTATAGATTATATTTTCATTCCGTATCACCCTAGAGCTTTGTCTTAAGGTATTTCTTATATCTGAAAATTAAAATTTTAGTATATATCTTACTCTTTTTTTTTTTTTGAAATCAAGGCAAAGCAAGCACTCTCCCACTTGAGCCACATCTCTAATCAGTTCCTTTTGCTCTGGTTATTTTGGAGATGGGGACTCAAACTGTGTTCCCCGGCTGGCTGCCTCAAACTTTGATCCTCCCAAGTAGCTACGATTATAGATGTGAGCTACTGGCCCCTGGCTTGGTGTGTGTGTTTGCATCAGAAATATGAATGTATTTTCTTGTAGCCTGAAGAACTTGGTTTAGCAAGGATGTTTTACCATTAACAACTATGAGCAACATACAGTTAACCCAAGCAACACAAATGTATTTCAGATTTTCACAAATAATTGTCAAGCTAATACACAGTGCAGGTGAAAGTGCATCTCTTTGTGGTACCAGGGTTTGGACTTAGGGCCTCTGCCTACCAAGCAAATACTGTACCACTTGAGCCATGCCTCAGCCCTCTTTGTTTTATTTTTCAAGTAGGGTCTCACTTTTTCCTGATACCACATTAGATTTAAATCCTCCTACCTATGCCTCCTGCATGTTTGGGATTACAGGGATACACCACCACACACAGCTTATTTGTTGAGATGGGGGTCTTGCCATCTTTTTCTTAAGGCTGGCCATTGTCTCCATCTTTGCCTCCTGATTTAGATGGGATTATAGGCGTGGCCCACCATACCATGTGGGAATACATCTCAAAAATAAAGGAATTGCAAGTTCTATGCCCTAATTAGAAGATGTTTCTCATACAGTTCCATAGGTGTTTACACTTCTTGGTTGGGAGCTATGTGGAAGAAGGGTGGTATTTTAAGAGAAGGGGGCTGGAAAAAAGGTGATACGGTAGCACGGGGGCTGTTTTCAGCGAGACCTACTTTAGGAACAAGAATGAACAGAAACTGTGATGCTGACACTTCTACCCTTAAACTGATACTGAAGCTGTCTATCCTGTATGCCCTGCTCAAATGCAGGGTGGGCAGAGATGCAGGGTTAGTGTAGTTGAAAGTGTAGAGCTGGAGGTACTAGACAAAACGCTTCTCAGCCCTTGCTGTACCCTCTTGCCTGAAGGAAGCTTGTTCTAATCTTCACTGTTTACGGATCACCTTCCTCACTATTTTGGTTCTGGACAGAGAAGACTGGTATCTAATTTACTCCCAATCAGGGCTTTTGTTTTACTTGGCAGAGATGAGAGGAGCATTATAAGGCTTTGAGGTGATGGTATTGGTATGAGGCATAGAGTGGCAAGCTTGTGTTGATGGCGTTTTAGAAGTGAAGTTTCTCAGCCTCTTGCCTTCCATTGCATGATCATGCCTGATGAATCAAATCTTCTTGTGTAGAAGCCAGTTGCTGAAGGCTTGTGGTCCTAGCACCCCATGCAGTTGTTCTGTAGCCAGTGTGGCACCCAGTACCCCAAGAATGGGCTGGTCTGGACACCTGGAACTCCATTCCCAGCAGAAGGATGTATTTGGTTAGATTCATTAGTTTTCCTTAACCATGAAGCTTGTGGAGACAGCTTTGAGTGAACCAGGTAACTTTCTGGTTTGATTTGAAACACCGATGAATTCCCTGTGACTCTTTATTTATTTGTTTGTTTATTTATTTTGTGGTACCTCGAGCCACTCCACCAACCCTTTTTGTGTTAGGTTTTTCCGAGATAGGGTCTCATAAACTATTTACCCAGGCTGGCTTCTAACCATGATCCTGAGAAGTAGGATTACAGGTGTGAGCCACTGGTGCCTGGCTAGTTTTTTTTTTTTTTTTTTTAACATATTACCTTCTCCATTGATTGAGGTTTAAAACTGGATATATTACTGTTGCCTCATAATTTCTCTTGTCCTTCGCTGATTTTCTCATTTTTCATTTATTTAGAAAACTGTGGCTGAAAAGCAGGAGAAAAGAAATCAAGACCGCTTGAGGAGAAGAGAGGAGCGAGAGCGGGAGGAGCGGCTGAGCAGGAGGTGAGCCTGGACGGACCAGGAGGCCCACAGCAGTCCTAAGGCCTTAGTAAACCCCTGCTCCATCCACTTTAGTGTTGCTACAAGCTGCGAAGGTCTGCCAGATACTAAGGTGGCTATTAGAGGAAAAGTAAGCTGAGCATCTGTGGCTTGTGCCTGTAATCCTAGCTTCTCAGGAGGGTGAGATCAGGAGGATTGCAGTTGGAAGCTACCCGGAACAAATAGTTAGACACAAAACGGGGCTGGCAGCGTGGTTCAAGTGGCAAGAGTGCCTGCCTAGTAAATGTGAGACTCTGAGTTCAAAGCCCAGTACCACCAAAAAAAGAGTAAACATTCAGTATATTCAGTTTAACGAAGTAGCTTGAATGTGGCGACCTGAAAGACTGAGAGAATAAGAAGAGAAGTTCCTTCTGAGAGCTGAGCCTGTAGCCTTCAGCGGATAAGGCAGGAGCTGATCCTTTGAGAGCCGAGCTTCTGTCTCATGGCCATGCATTGCTGTGGGCAAAATTGTCAGGGAAGGACTTTGGCTTGAGTCCTTAGAGGCTTTTAAACACTAAATGCTCTGGCATTTATTTACTCCGTGATGTATGGCCCACTCAACAGCTTCTCATTAAGGAGGGGCTAGATATGAGCTGAGATACATTGCTTCCGTTTGCAGAGTAGAGTATACGGCATTGGGTAGAGCAGCAACACCTCTGAATTGGTGGCGAGGCAAATCCCTGCAAAGGAGGTGGCAGTTTGAGCCAGAGGAGGACCAGAAGTAGTCTGGGGTAGAATTGGCAGCATTTGCTTGTTGACCATCTGGGGTGTATGAAGGAAGAATGAAGCTGGCCTCACCATTTCTGGCTTGGAGTTGCCACTTTTGGGATGGGGGCGGATGGAGCAGGGTTGTGGGAGGTAGAATTTAACTCTGCCATCTTTAATTTGATATGCCTGAGAGATCCCCAGTTAGAGATAATTGTGTTTGATTGGAGTTCAAAAAAGAGGTCAGAGCTGGAAGGCTGAGATCAGGAGGATAGTGGTTTGAGGCCAGTCCAGCTTATAGTTGGCATGATCCTCTACCCATCCCTACCCCCAGTCTCAAAAATATCCAGAGCAAAACGAATTGGAAGTGCAGCTAAGTGGTAGAGCGCCTGCTTTCCAAGCATGAAGCTCTGAATTTAAACCCCAGTTCCACCCAAAAAAAAAAAAAAAAAAAAAGTTTGAACTAGGGCCTCATGCCTGCTAGGTATGCAAGCTTTGAGCCACTCTGCCAGCCCTAGCTTGTTACTCTTAAAAGTTCTGAAACCACCGGACGCCAGTGGCTCATGCCTGTAATCCTAGCTACTGAGGAGGCAGATAGGAGGATCATGGTTCCAAGCCAGCTAGGGCAAATAGTTCCACGGACCTTATCTTGAAAAACCCTTCACAAAAATAGGGCTGGTGGAGTGGCTCAAGGTGAAGACCCAAAATTCAAGCCCCAGTACCTCAAAAAACAAAAAGTTCTGAAACCTATGTATGTTGTTTCCTTCGTTGTTTTAGTTACAGTGGACCCTGATTGTTAAGAGGCTTGAATAGTATAAGAACACAGTAAGGCCTGCAACCCCTTTTGCATCAAGGTGACCATTGTTTGGGCATGTTTCTGCAATCATGCTTAGGCCTTGGACATTGTAGGCACCTGTGGGACACTCATAGTACTCCTAGAATGAGTGTCACATGAGACCCTGTTGTGATGTGCATGTTTTGAATCGCTGGTGTGTAACAGAAGAGCCCATTTGACTCTCAACTAGCAGTAAGCCTGTGTCTGGAACTCTGGTCACTGTAATGCTACACTTAGCCTGGTTTGCTCCATGACTGCACATCCCTGTTAGTTCCCATTTTAAAGACCTGGGAGCCCGTTGTTGAGCTCAGTGCAGCACAGCCAACCCCTTGGCACTCATGTATGGATGTGTCCAGTTGCCAAAAGCCTTGTAACCTTATACTTTTGCGTCCATTTCCTGGTGGTAGTCCCTTCCCTGTGCTTCCCTAGTCCCTTCTCAGATGCTGCTGTGTGTGAAAAGGTGGCTCATTCATCCCGTGAGCATTGGCACGTCCTGCAGTAGACCTTGAACAGTCACACACTCAGAAAGTAACAAGTCTGGGGAAAATCCTCTACCTCTTGAGTTTGGGGCTTTCCTCCTCAGTCTGTAAAGAATGGGATGCTTTTGGGATACTATTTATCTTTTTTTTTCCCCCCTTTCTAGATCTGGATCAAGAACTAGAGATCGAAGAAGGTAGGTTTCCATATCCATCACAGTGTTCTCAGTCAAATTTCTTTTTCCAGATTTCTTAATACTTGATGTTTATGACTTCACATGAAGTAGGGCTGTTTTGTGAAGGTTACAGGGTTTGGAGGTTGATTAGGGCTCAGCACAGCTAAGGTACTTCCCCTCCCCTCCTCCAAGCTTCCCTTGAGAAGGAAGATGAAGGGATTCTACCCAGGCCTGCAGGCTGACCCAGGAGTGTCTGCATCCTGTGCTTTTAGGAGACATTATTCAGGGGAAGAATCCAGCCATCACATTAACCCATGGAAATATTTTAGACCTAAGTAGTAAATTTGTAGGAGGAAAAGGAAAACACCAGTAAAGCTGTAGGCAGAAGCATCTCAGGAGAAGCTTGAGGTCGGCCCTTGTGGTGCTTGGCTCCTGTGGAGGCATGGTCCCCAACATCTTCTGGTTTTTCCAGGTCACGCTCCCGGGATCGGCGTCGGAGGCGGTCAAGATCTGCCTCCCGAGAGCGACGGAAGTTATCCCGGTCACGGTCCCGAGATAGACATCGGCGCCACCGCAGCCGTTCCCGGAGCCACAGCCGGGGTCACCGCCGGGCTTCCAGGGACAGGAGTGCGAAATACAAGTAACTACTCTGACTCCTTCAGTAGCTGCAGCCAGGAGTGAGCTCCTTCTCTTTGTGTTCCCAGGGTCTTCCGGGGGTTTGTTTGTGGGTCCTTTGGCAATATATTGTAGGGACAGGGCTGGACTTGTAGGGAGTCTGGCCAGTTGACTGTGGGACCCAGTATTAGGGCCTTGTGGAGTGCTGAGTGGGACCTGGGGCTTGGAACAGGAGAGGACTGGAGGAGCTCACACATGGTCTTCTGGGTGGTGCTGCCCTGGGCCAGGGCTCTGTGCACTGTCACTTGGTTCACACTGTGGCTGAGACTTTGTGTCCTGACCAGGCCCTGCTTACTTCTGTTGTGTTTTTTCAGTTTTGGCCTTTTTTCTCACTTTATTTTTACAATGTTTTATATTCTACTTGTATAATTTTTTTATGTTCTTCGCTCTATTTCTGTTTCAGTGAAAAGTTTTCTTACTAAAAATCTTTGCAAATGACACTTTTTCATGACTGCTTAACATTCCCTGAACAGTGGGTTGGGCACGAGATGGCAGGCCTTGCCATCCTCTGGTCTGCTTTTGGCCCCTGGTCTTCTCTGGTCCAGTGTTGGTTCCTATGCAGCCAGCTAGAAGGGGATGTCAGCCTATGCTGAGACTCTGGTTCTCTTTCTTAGGTTCTCCAGGGAACGACCATCTAGAGAGGAGTCCTGGGAGTGTGGGCGGAGTGAGCGAGGATCCACTGACTGGAGGCTGGAGAGCTCCAATGGGAAGACTACTTCACGGAAGTCAGAGGAAAAGGAGGCTGGTGAAATCTGAATCCAGGCTCTAGCGCTGTAAATAGTCTGACAAACGCTCAGCACAGCCTAAAATTACCCTTTATATTTGCTGAATACAACTCATCTTTTGTAGTTTAAAATTTCTATTGTTTGGCACTAGCTGTGAGTTTCTAGAGTTTAAGTACAGAGTTCCTCCTGTGTTTAGGGTTATGTTGCATAGGAATAAATAAACCTGGGGGCTGACAGCTGCACGGGGTCTGCTGTGCTCTGCTTTAGAGGCATTTTACCAGGATCCTGCACTACTGGAGGCAGGCCGGTACGCCTGTCGCCTCTGAAAACGTGACTTTTGGGCCTCCTTTTGATGTGAGTCGTCTGACAAGTTCCAGGGCACTGTCCACACACCCAGCTGAGTCAGGTGTGTTCAGCTTTCTGCTGCATTTGGCTCACACCTCACATCTCGGCTGCTCATCTCCTCAGTACAGACCACAGAGGTGGCCACGCTCTATACCGCTTTCCTTAGGAAGAACAGGTCTGTCTGGTTAGATCTTAGTTTAGGGAGCTACAATGAAATACCCTGTGAAGTTCCTTAGGGCAGAGAAAGACCTGTGGACAATGTCCACCTGGCAGCCAGGAGGTCCTCAGGAGAAGGGTGTAACTTTGCGTCAGATTCTTGGGGTGCTGTTGTTTGCTGCATGCCTGGGATAGGCTGATTGTGCTGCCCACCCAGCTTCTGCTGCTTCTTGAACAGGACTGAGGCCTTAATACCAAAATGAAACCCATAAAGGATAACTAACAAACTTGTAAAAAGGGGGAGCTCCTTTCTTTACTTGGGGAGTTGCAGGTTTGAGTTTGGAGGGAATTTCAGTTGGTTACATTAAACAGATAACCCCCCATCCGTACACTGTACTTGCAGGGATGCAGGTATTACCATAATCGTAATGTGACTGTTGGAGGAACAGCCCCAGTGGCTGAGCTCCCCTGCCCCAGTTTGTCCCCTGGAGAAAGACATGCAGGGAGATGCTGGCCTTTGACACAGGTCTTCCCTGGCCGTCTGTCTTCATGGGAGAGGAGTGGGAAGAAACACTGCTATGAGATCCACTTGGGCCTGGCACTGTACTGTACTCACATGCCGTGTAGGTTTCCACACTAGCCCCTGGACCTAGAAACAGGATTTAGGTCCACCTTAGTGCTCTCCTGGTCTTCCTAGAGAGAGGCTCTTCCTGAGCTCCCTGTTCCCAAGCTGGCATCGTGATAGTGGCTGTGGCCACCCAGGCCAGGAGTGTTCCTAGGCAGCCTGTACTCTGGAGCTTAACCAGACAGTCCCACTTTTAGAGCCATTACCACTGTTAATGGTTTGGATCCTTTTCTGTTTAGACATAAATACCTGTGTGTGGACAAACGGCTGCGTTTTGCTTTGTTTTGCCAGGGAACAGGGCTTACTATGGGTAGTGCTCAGTGTGATCTGTGACACTCATACCCTCACTTTGTACCCTCTGATTTCACCTGGGGGACAAGGCTGCCTTAAGCTGCAGTGTCTGGCTCTGGACCAGTGTCCTTCCAGGGCGTGGGGTTGGTGCTTCCACTGCCTCAATTTCAAGGCACAATTCCATGGGTCCTTGGGTGCTTCTCAGGTAGTCCTGACTAAGCGCAGCCCCCAGGGCAGCCTTAATGGCACCCTCCGATGACTTTTCCTTCCTACCCTCCTCCCCATCCCATAAGCCACCTGCTCCAAGTCCTCTCAGTCTGATGCAGGGAACCCGTGTTTGTACCTTTTTCATCCAGTGTGGGAAGTGAGTCTTAGCATTTCACAGCAGTGCCTGTGAGTCCTGAGAGCACATTATTGGGAGGTGTAGGTCTGAGGAGTTGTCCCTACACTGGAACGGAATCCGCAGCATCAGGAGGATCTCACTATACTTCCTCTACATCCCAAGTTGGGTCAAAACAGTCATCCATCCCAGAACATACTCTGCTCCCAGTGGGAAAACTTTCCACTGTCATCCAGAAAAGATAAGGAAAACGGCTATCCTTGTTAGGTTGCCTCGTTGTTGAGCTTGTTGGGCAGGGGTGGAACTGGAGCCACTTTTTTTTGCATCCCACGCAGGGGCTGTTCCCCTGTGGGAATAGTCAGGTGGTGGTAAGAAACCCTGGTTTAGCTGGGTGCTGGTGGCTCACACCTGTAATCCTAGCTACTCAGGACACAGATCAGGAGGACTGCAGTTCAAAGCCAGCCCAGGTAAACAATTCATGAGACCATATCTCAGAAATACCCAGTACAAAAAGACTGGTAGAGGACTCAGGTGGCACAGGGTATTCCTAGCAAGTGTGAGACTCGGAGTTCAAACCCCATTGTCACCAAAGAGAAAAGAAAAAGTCCCGGTTTGCTGGGTACCAGTGGCTCAAGCCTGTAGTCCTAGCTACTTGGGAGGTTGAGATTAGGAGGATTATGATTCGAGGCCAGTCTGAGCAAATAATTCACAACCGCAACCCTGCCCCCAACTCCAAAATAACCATAGCAAAATTGGACTGGAGGTGTGGATCAAGTGGTACAGTACCTGATTTGCAAGCATGTGGTTCAAAAACCACTGGGTCTGTGGTGTGTAATCCTGAGTCCTGAGGGGGTAGGGTAGAGGCAGAGAATAAAGCTGAGGTTACAGGTTCTAGGCTGTAGCAGGTAGACAGCTATTCTGGTATTAGTTAAAAACTTCTCCAGACTCAAAACTCATAATTCAGAGACATCCACTTGTGCCATGGCACATGTAGTATCTGCCATCTGCAAGCTAGGAAAGACCCAGGAAAGCTGGTGGTGTAGGTCTAGTTCAAAGGGGATGATGGGCCAGGAACTAGGGGAGCCCAGTGTTCTAAATTGCCAGTTCTGATTGGAAGGCTCAAGAACCAAGAGCACTCTGGTAGAAAGCAAGTGGATGTTCAGCTCAGGCAGAGAACAGCTATGTCCTTCCTGCATCTTCTGTCCTCCCCTGTGGTTGGATAGTGCCCAAAATTTTAGGCAGGGTGATGGTCATCAGTCTACTTTACTACAGTGTTTCTCATCTGGAAACCCCCTCAGACACTTCAGAGACAGCACTTTACCAGCCACGTGGGTTTCCCTTAGCCCAGTGAGGCCCACAAATAAAATTAACTACACACTCAAAAAATGTTTTCTCTTAATTTTTTTTAAATATGGAACACTTCAAATTTTTAAGTCATTCTTGCACAGGGGCCATGCTAATCTCTGTATTCCAATTTTAGTATGCACTGCAGAAGCGGTGTGCTCTGTCTACTGTTCGGATGTCATTTCTTAGGAACGATAACTACCTGTGCCGACTAGGACCTGAAGGGCTGAACAGGAATGCTTCCTGTCTTGTTAGACCTGTTTCCACTCCTGTATGGTGTGTCATGCGTGGAGCCTGAGTTGGGGCCTTCTGGTTTCCTCTACATGTTTGCACAGGATACAGTTTTTCAAGAGGGAACTGAAGTAATGGACATGCGGGACCCTTTCAGGTTTTAGTGGAGGGAAAAGCAAGGAAGACCCTGTGGGAGGAAGGTTGGTTGGCCTGAGCAGTTGGGGTCCTGGGCCTTTGACAGACGGGCCCAAAGGCACCCAGTTCTGTCCACACCTGTCCAAGGCCTCAGGTAAGTAGATGCTGACATTGCTGCCCAGCCCGCTGGTGATGGCCATCCCCCTGCTTCTGCCTCGGCTTTCTTCTCTGGCTGTACTTCTTGCCAGAGGTCCCTCTGTCTACAGGGGTCAGTGAATGCAGGTCTCCAGAGTCATCTAAAACCCTCTGAGTTTTTCTGGACTCCAAAGATGCACATTTTTAAGTGTTCAGATAAAATAGTGTGGAGTATGCATTATTAGAGAATACTGTACTTCAGCATGTTTTGAGACAGTGGGTATATTCTGTCTCTAGTCTAATTGGACATCTCCCTAAATATGTTGTCTCATTTATTGAAGAAAATCAGGATGACAGTTGCTCCTTTTCATGTCTTGTGAGAATGACATAAATAACACATATGAGGTACCAGGCTCCAAGTAGATGGTCCTTTGCAGACAATGAACGGTTATGAAGCACTCAGGATGTATCTCAGTAATCACAGGAAATGTCTAGGTAGCACTTAATCTATGCCAGGTACCACACTAAATGTTTTTAGGGGCTGGGGGCATGGCTCAAGTGTTAAAGCACTTACTTAGCAAGTATGAGGGAGGTCTAGAGGTTAGACCTCAGAACCACAAAAAATAAACTTTACAGATTCTTAAAAGTCACGTAACAAGTGACCATTTTAGTCATCTTGAAAGTGTATGGTTCTGTGACATTTAGTACATTCACAGCGTTGTGCACCCCTCACTACCATCTACTTCCACAACTTTTTCATCCTCACAGACTCCAATCTGTTAGTAACTTCCCAAACTTAACCTCACCAACACACACAACCATGAACCTGCTTTCTGTCTCCTTTGGTCATGGACTTATTCTACTCAGGAAGATATTTTCAAAACCAGGCAGTTGTGGCTCACTCCTGTAATCCTAACTACTCAGGAGGAAGAGATCAGGAGGATCAAGGTTCAAAGGCAGCCCCTGCAAATTGTGAGATCCTGTCTTGAAAGTAATAAAGGGCTGGTGGAGTGGCTCAAGCAGTAGTATGCCTGCCTAGCAAGCATGAGGCCCTGAGTCCAAACCCCAATACTGACAAAAGATGTTTTCAAGGTTCAGCCACATTCTCTAAGAACTGCATTGTTTTATGGCTGAATAATACTCCCTTTTGTGTATGAGGTACATTCATCCATGGATGTCCAGTAAGTGCTTTTCCACCTTTAGCTGAGGCCTCAGCTTTCCCTAGAATAACAAGGAAGGCCTCTTAGTCACAGGTGGTGCTAATGACATCACATCTGACACCTGCTACAGAGTTTGCAGGAATGACACTGGGCATAGGAAGAAAAGACATTGTTCTCTATGAAGGCCTGGGACTGGACTGCTGCCAATGCCGAACACTGGGCCTCCCTCTGATGGCCCAGGACCTGAGTTATTCTCTGCAGAGAGGAGGCCCTAGGATTTGACCATGCCTTCCTGACTCTGGGTGTCCTCTACTCTCCTATTGGGATAGGGGCACCAGCTCTGGGTGGTAAGCAGGTGCTGGACCAGGTCAAAGGTCTTCAGACGACCTTGATGGTCCAGGGTTTCAGTGTGCAAAGAGTGAGCATCCTGGGAGGCACCTCCAGAAACGGGACTGACATTGTTCTGCTCACCCCAGGTCTCAATTATGCTCTGCATTTGGGCGGCTTTTGGGACACTGGTGGGGGTGATGGGGAAAGATTTGATTCTACTCACCACAGGGAGGAAAGGAGCACAAGGTCCTGACTTCAATAACCAGTACCATTAAAAAGAAAATGGGTGAATGTGTCTTACATGGGTAATCCTAGCTATCAGAAGGCTGAGATCAGGAATATTGCAGTTGGAAGGCAGCCCATGGCAAATAGTTTCCCTCCCCCCCCCGCCCCCTCCCCTCCCTCAGACTGTGTTGCTGAAGTTGGCCTCCAAATCCTGCCTCAAGCTTCCTGGGTAAATAGGAGTACAGGTGCATCACTGCACTGGAAAGATGAACTTTTTTGGGTAAGGCTCTGGATATTGAACTCAGGGCTTCCTGCTTGCTATGCAAGTGCTCTACCCCTTGAGCCATGAACCAGTCCTTTTGCTTTTAGTTTGTTTTCACTTGGTGTCTGGTGCTTTCATGAGCAGGCCACAGACCCCAATCCTAGCCTTCTTTAGTAGCTTGGATTACAGACTTGGGGGCCACTGTGCTTGACTTGACTTGCATTCTTAATGTGCATAAGAGTTCCCTAATATAGATAAGAAAAAGGGCTGGGAGGCAGTTGTGATCAGACAGGGTCTCAAAAAAAAAAAGGAGGGGGTGGAGATCAGAGATCAGGAGCATCACTGTTGGAAGCCAGCCCAGGCAAACAGTTCTGGAGACCCTATCCTGAAAAAAAAAACTCACAAAAAAGAGCTGGGAGAATGACTCAAGTAGTAAGAGTGCCTGCCTAGCAAGTATGAGTTTAAATCCCAGTGCTGCCAAAAAAAAAAATCAATATGCACGTAAACAATGAAGTATAGAAAGGTAAAACAGGTCTTGTCCCGGTTGGGTACCAGTGGGAATGGGGAGGGTAAACAGAGAGGGTGAATATGGTCCACTTGCTTTGTATATGTGTATGAAAATATAACAAGGAAACTTGTTGAATTGTTCTAAGGAGAGGGCAGGGAGATCAGGGAGGATGATGGAAGGAGTGAATCTAATTAAGGCACATTGTACACACATATGTAAATGTCACAATGCAACCCCCCTGTGCAACTAATACATGCTTAAAAAAAAAACAAATAGGCTGGGAACCTAGTGGATGTCATCTGTAATCCTAGCTAATTGGGAGGCAGAGGTTGGGAGGATTGTGGTTTGAAGTCAGGCTGGGCAAATAATTTACAAGACCCATCTCCAAAATATCCATAACAAAATAAACTGGAGGCATGGCTCAAGCAGTAGAGTGCTTACCCTGAGTTCAACCCCTGGTAACACCAAAAAAAAGAAGAAAAAAAAATCCAGTAACAAGGCCCCTGGCTTTAATTTTGAGCACTTGAAAAAGCAAACCAGAAAAATGACAAAGGAAGAAAAGGACAAATGATTTATGGGAATAACTGACAAAGATCATTCCAGAAAACGTGTAGAAATTATCAATAAACCTATGAAATGAAGCAAGATTGGCGGTGAGCTCCTGTATTCTCAGCTACTTGGAAGTCTGAGGCAGGAGAATCTCTTGAGTCCTGGAGTTCAAGGTCAGTTTGGGCAATCTAGGTAGACCATATCTGAAGAAAAAGAAAAAAGAAAGAAAGCTGGGCACTGGTGGCTCATGTATGTAATCCTAGCTACTTGGGAGGCTCAGATAGGGAGGATCAAGGTTCAAGAACAGCCCAGGCAAACAGTTCATAAGAACCCATTTCCAAAATTAACCAGAACAAAATGGATGGGAAGTGTGGCTGAAGCAGTAGAGTACCTGTTTTGCAAGCATGAAGGCTTGAGCTCAAACCCCAGTCCCACCAATAACTATAATAATAATATAATAATAAAGGAAGTTGGTTACTTGGCTCAAGTGATAGAGCTCCAAGCACCTGACTACCAAGACCGAGGCCCTGAGTTCAAACTCTGAATTCCAACACCACCATCACCAAGGAAAAACAAAAAGAAAAGACAGAAAAGTGATGAAGCAGTAGTGGGGCTGTGGTCCCTCAACACAGAAGGCACTGATGGGCTCAGTCTGAAACCTCACTTTGGTTCTTCTGAGGGATGGAGGATGTGGTAGAGGGACTTGATTTTCTACTTGGAAAGCTTGTATGTGTGCATGTGTGATAGCAAGGGTAGATTTCAGCCTACTTCTTAAGTGTTTTTCTACATTTAAGCAAAAATGGGTTGGATGTTAGGGAGAGAAAAGAAGATGGTAGAGAGGGGAAGGAACTCCTCAGCTGTTCACAGACACCCATGACCTGAAAAAAAGTGGTGAGCACCGTCTTACCATGTTCCCAAATCTGTAGCTAGTGCTGGCTCCCTGTGGGGCTGGGCCCAGGGGTCCTGGTGAAATGCTTAGGGTAGCAGAGCCTGGAAGGGTAATTCAAAATTCCAGCACAGAGCCTGGACTTCAGCATCTGGACAGGGCCTTTCTTGCTGTCAGGAACAGCAGGGGAGGCAGCAGGGGAGGAGAAGCCAGAAGTCCTAAGATCTGCCTTCTGCAAGCTGGAGACCTGGGAGGCCTGGCGGTAGTGTGGTGATCTAAGCCCTGGTTCTAGTTTGAAGTTCCAAGAACCAGGAGCACTCCAGTGCAAGGCAGGTGGACTTTCCAGCTTGGGCAGAGAATAGATGTGTCCTTTCTGCACCTTCTTTTCTGCTCTCTGTGGATGGTTGGTGCCCAAAATTTTATGCAGAGTGAGCATCACTCCATCTACTGATTCCAATACTTCTCTTCTGTAAAGCCCCTCGCAGACCCCAGACACAATGCTTTACCAGCCGCGTGGGCATCCCTTAGCCAGTGAGATTGACACATATAAGTAACATCACATACCTAAAGCATGTTTTCCTTTTGTGGTGTGTGTTTGTCCACTGTTCCTCTGTCACTTTGAGGATATCATTTCTAGGGAAGATATCTAAGGGTGCCTACCAGGACCTGAAGGACTGTAAAGGAATGCCTCCTGTCTGGTTAGACCTGTTTCTGTCCATGTGTGTTGTGTGTGTGTCACAAGTGGGCCCCAAGGTAGGAATTTGGTTTCCTCTACTTGTTCATATAGGACACGGTTTGCCAGAGGGAATTGAAGGAATAATGGATGTGTGGGAACTGTTTCTGGACCTGAGATACAGAGAAAGGGACAGTGAGTGGAGTAGTTGTCTCAATTTTATGCAGTGACCATGATTGATTTTATGCAGAAAAAATAAAAGGCTCTACTTTTCTCTCTGGTGATGTCAGATGATGGCAAGGTTGGTGGTGCCCTGGCCTCTTCCTCCATCTACATGACTGGGCACATGGCTGGAGCCACTTGGCTTTTACCACAAGCCTCCTGATACCTGCCATCCCCATTGTCTGCAAGTCCAGTATGTGCCGGGAGGGTGTGCTGTCTCTGGTTTTCTCAGAGGCTGTGCCATTTTTGTCCTGACACCCTCTTCCCACATCTACCAGCACTCACAGCCCTGTACCCCATCCTATGCTCCAATCAGATGATGGACCTTTCCGTGGGGCCAGGCCCAGCCCACCTGTATCTGAAAGGACACTGGAGTGGACCCAGGACCAGCCCTGGGGAGACCAAGGATCCTCCAGCAGTCCTGCTGCCTGTGGCCACCCATGACCCCTCTCTACCTGTTACCCTCCAGAACGGTCACAGGTGCAACCAGTGCCACCAAACCTCCCACATGAATTCCTAACCTGATGACCCAGACCCACCCGAGTCAGAGCAGCCTGAATTCTCCCTGATGCAGCTCTCCTGGGCCCTGGCCCTGGCATGGAGGATCTGAAGGGCGGTGCCTTACCCCGCACCAGCGTCAAAGGACACATGCACGCAGGACACGGCCCTGGGAGATTTTACTCAAAGCAGGTCCTCGCGGAGTGGCTGATTGGGGGCCCCGCGAGCACCCACCTCCAATTCAGAGATGCTTGGAGGCCAGCGCTGAGGTCACGAGGCTCAGAAACTTGTCCAGCGAGGCCTGCATGGCGGGACTGAAGTCTCCTGGGTAGTTCCGGGCGAGGGTCACCAGCAGACAGTGGCCCAGGAGCTGCGGGGAGAGGAGGTTGTCCCAGCGTCGGGGTCATCCGTCGGTCATCTGCACCCTGCCCTAATGGGACCCCCTCCCCGGCGACTGAGGGTCCAGTTGGCCCGTTGCCTTACCTGGAAGTTGACAGGGTCCACCCGCAGTTGGTGCGCATGCAGGTCGCTCAGAGCAGACAGGGCGCCAGGCAGGTTGTCAAGGTTGTGGACGGCGAGGGTCAGCGCGTCGCCCACCTTCTGGCCGTGGTCTTTGACCTGGACGGAGCCGCGGCTCAGATCCAAGTGCGGGAAGTAGGTCTTGGTGGAGGGGAAGGCCAGGAAGGTCCTGCGGGAGGAAGGTTGGTTGGGTACGTCCAGCCTGGCCAAGCAGGGGACGCGAGTCCTGCGGAGGGCACCCAGCTCTGTCCGCACCTCTCCAAGGCCTCGGTCACATAGACACCGACGTTGTCGCCCAGCTTCTTCCACAGCGCGCGCACCATCTCCCGGTCCGCGGAGGACAGCGCCATCCCTGAGCTCCTGCCTCGGGCCCGCGCCTTTGCGCCAAGGGCCCGCGGACACCAGGGGGCGCCGCCGCGCGCTCCGCAGCCCCTTTGCTGTAGCGCGAGGCAGGAGTCAGCTCTCTGTGGTCAGCTCCCGCCTGCGACCCTCTGGGTCTCCTTGTACCCCAAACACCCATATTTTAAGTGTTTCTCCTATAGACAATAGCACTTAATGTTAGCATGTATTTGGGCAGTGGGTATATTCTGCCTCAGAGTCTAACAGGACACCTCCCTGAGTATGTTGGCTCATTTCTTGGATAAAATCAGGATAAAAATTGCTCCTTCTTAGGGTCTTGTAAGAAGACATATAAGGTGCCTGACTCCAGGCAGATGTTTCTTTCCAGACAATGAACAGTTATGGAGCATTTAGGATGCATCCCAATAATCGTAGCAAATGTCTAGGTAGCACTTAATCCATGCCAGGAACCACACTAAACATTTTTAGGGGTTGGGGGCGTGGCTCAAGTGGTAAAGCACTTACCTAGCAAACGTGAGGTCCTGAGTTTACACCTCAGAACCACAAAAAAAGAAAAAAGAAAGAAAGAAAGAAAGAAAGAAAAGAAAGAAGGAAAGAAACCTCAAAAACTTTCTTAAAATTCACATGACGTAAATTGCCATTTTATTCATCTTAAAAGTGTATGATGGGCACCCGTTTGGGACCACTCCCTGTCTCTGGTGGAAGCTTTATCTTTGTCCTTCTCTTGGAGACACTGGAGTTTGAACTCAGGGTCTCACACTGGTGCTCTACTACTTGAGCCACTCCACCAGCAATTTTTTGTGATGAGTTTTTTCGAGATAGGGTTTCACAAACTATTTGCCCGGGACTGGCTGCAATCTGCAATCCTCCATGATCTCTGCTTCCTGAATAGCTAGAATTACTGGTGTGAGCCACCGGGGACCGGCTTATCCTTTTCTTTATAAACTTCTTCCCTAGAACAATGTATCCCCAACACAACAATAATAAAAATAAATAAATAATAATAAAACAATTTTAAAACAAACTCCTTTCCTAAAAACAGAGTGTATGAGCTGTGATATTTAGTACATTCGCATGGCTGTGCAACCACTCTCTACTCCCAGACCCTTTTCTCCCTGGTATGGATTCATTGATGTGGATCTTTCACACACATGGACTACAACATGTGGCCTTTGCTCACTGGCTTCTTCCACTCAGCGAGATGTTTTCAAGGTTCAGCCACATTCTATAAGAACTGCACTCCATAGGGGAAGGACAATGAGGAAGAATAATGGAGGGAGTGAATCTAATTAATATATATATATTGTAAGGACATATGTAAATGTCACAACTATTACATGCAAAAAAAAAAAAAGGAACTGCAGTCTGTTTTAAGGCTGTGTACGAGCCATAGCTTGTTTACACACTCATCTATGGATATCCATTGGCTATTTTTCCACCTGCAGCCAAAGGAAGCCCCAGTTTTCCCTAGTAGAATAACAAAGACAGCCTCTTACCAGAGCTCACACTTCATCACAGGTGGTGCTAATGGCATCACAACTGAGACAGAGGGCCACAGGGTTTCTCCAGGGATGACTGTTGGACCCAGGGAAAATGTCATTGTTCTCTGTGGAGAGCTGGTAATGAATAGCTGCCCAGCCTGGGTACTCCCTCTGATGGCCAGGATGCGGGCGTTTCTCTTTAAGAAGGCACTTTTGGGGCGATTCTGTCATTCCTCCCTGGCTCCGATGTCCTCTCTACTGCCCCTCTACTGGGAGAGGGGCACCAGCTGAGGGTGGGTGCTGGACTGGGCCTGACAATTGAGTCTTCAGACCTCCATGGTTCAGGGTGTCAGTATTCAAAGAGAGAGCATCTGCTTTTGACACCTTCTCAAATTGTCTGGGGCTGACATTGCACTGCTCCTCCCAGGTCTCATTTGGACTGCGCACTGCATTTGAGGGGTTTTAGGGACACTGGTGGGAGTGGCAGGAAGATTCAGTTCTACTCTGAGGAAGGAGCCCTGGGATAGCTGGGTCAATTCTTAGCACAAGTGTGTGCTACGTGAGAAAATGCAAAGTTGGGGGAGAATTCATTGCTGCAGCTAGTTACTGTTAAATTTTTGGCGTCCTAGAATAAAATGCCCAAAGAAGGAATGAAACCAGTAAAGCACTTCAGGTTGTCCATTCAATCCGAGTCGGAGGATTGGCCATGTTTTCTTGCCTGCCACGTCCCTTTTCACTCCTGCCACCTCTCCCTTTCCTGTCTTTTCCTGCCTTCTCTTGCTGCAGACAGGTCATTGATGAGAGGTAAGGGATGTGTCACCAAGACGGCACCCGCTCCCATCCCAAGCACCTTGATGGACACAGAGAACCCAGGCACAGACAGGCTCTGCCCACTCAGACTTTATTCAAAGACCAAGAGATGCAGGTGCGAGGAGGGGACAAGGGTCGGTCCGGAAGGCCCGGCGGGCAGTGGGCGGGGCCGTCGAGGTTCCATCTTAACGGTATTTGGAAGTCAGCACGGTGCCCACAGCGGCAAAGAACTTGTCCAGGGAGGCGTGGATCGAAGGGGTGAATTCATTCGGGTGGTGGTTGGCCAGGGTCACCAGCAGAGAGTGGCTCAGGAGCTGCGGAGAGGAGAAGGGTCGGTCAACAGCGGTAGAGACCACACCCGAATTCGTGCACCATGTGGAACCTGTGGAGCCTGAGTTCCTTCTGCGCCCCACTTCCCTCCCGGCCTGACCCCAGCACGCACCTTGAAGTTGACCGGGTCCACACGCAGCTTGTGGGCGTGCAGGTCACTCAGGTCGGACAGGGCAGAATACAGGTCGTCTAGGTGGTTCGAGGCGTTGGTCAGCGCTTCCGCCACTTTTTTCCCATGGACCTTGATCTGGGCGGAGCCGTGGCTTAAGTCAAAGTGCGGGAAGTAGGTCTTGGTGGTGGGGAAGCTGTGGAACATCCTGCGGGGAGAAACGGTAAGTGAGCAGGGGTGGGGACAGCCTGGAGCGAGGACGCTTAGGGTTGCCTGCTGGGCTGTACGGCGGCGTCGGACTGCTGGATGTTGGCAGGGGAAGCGGGGGATCCTCACCTCTCTAGGGCCTCCGCGCCATACTCGGCACCATGGCCGCCAACCTTGCTCCAGGCAGCCTTGATGTTGGCCTTGTCGTCAGAAGACAGCACCATGGTGGATTCTTTCTGAGTCTGTATCAGAACCAGAAGTGTGCGGGACCTGCAGAGCGCGGCTCTTTTATCCTCGGTTGCTGGGGCAACGCCCGGCCAGGCCGCCCTGATTGGCTGGCGCGGAGCCGCCCTGTGAGCAGCGGGACGGACAGGGGGCGCCCGGCGGGTCTCTGCAGGCTCCGCCTCCAGCCGAAAACTTCCCTGGCTCCAGGGGCCGGAATTCTTCTCCCTCCCACTCGCCATCTTCCCCGACGGCGGCGGGCTCGGCCCTCATGCCGGGAGGCCCGCCTGTGAGGTCTGAAGGCCAGCGCGAGGCACCTGGCCTGGCTTGGCGCGCGCTGGACGTGCATCGTCTGAGCAGAACCAGCGCTGTTGGAAGAGAAGCTTGGCCCAGTCTAAGCAGAGAGGGGTGCCAACAAAAAGACGCTCTTCCTGCCATAACCCCCGCCGCTCCCGTTCAGCCTCTGTGCCTCTAGCCCCCTTTCCTTCCTCAAGAAGTCACCCTGTGTGTTTGAGGGACAGTCACAGGGAAGGAAGAAATACCTAGGCATAAAACTGCTGGGTTTGGGAGTCTGGGCTCCAGACTCAAACTTCCTCACCATGGGGATGGTAACTGCAGCTCCAGGTCGTGGCCTCCCAGTGGGGCCTTTCCTGTCCCTCACTCCTGTGTGGTTGTGTGGGTGACTGTCTCCCTGCCTACCTGCCCAGTGTTCCTGGTTCAAAGTGACACCTCCAGGTGTTCAAGTTGTGCGTTTGAAAGACTTCTAGTTAAATGCTGGTTCAATAAATCCAGCAACAGGCTGAAGAAGCCTGGAGCATCCATCTGGGCTAGGGACGGGGGCAGTCATCAAATCATCAAATCACTTGCTGGTGATAAATATGGTCCCCTGGGCTTGCCATTAGGGGGAAGGAGTGAGAAGTCATTGATATCGCCTTCCCTGAGTTGGAGGAAGATTTTTCTGTGAGGACTGGGGTGGTGGATAACTTCAGTCTGCCATTCTGTACATCTGTCCCTGAGGACCCTTACTGGAGACCTGCCCAGTATGTGTGGGGAAAGAGAGTCAGACTATCTTAGGCAGAGAAGAAAGTAGCTGACATCAGCTTTAGTAATGCTGAGGAAACTGCCTTCCCTTTTCCCATTTTCCTCTTCCTACCCTGAACGCATTCCTGATTCTGTCCACAGTTCCTAGGCTTCATCTTGGCCCTGAGGACAAGATGCTGGAGACTTCAAGACACCAATGTCTCTGCCACAGGCCTGAGACCACCTCTCTCTTTGTGTTGTGCTCTAGTCTCTCCAATACCTGAAGATTTTTTGTTTGTTTTGTTTTTTCTTTTTTTGTTTTTTAGACTGGGTGTGAATATGTATCCCAGGCTAGCCTCGAACTCATGATCCTCCTGCTTCAGCTTCTGGTTGTCTGGCTCTTTCTGAGCCCTTTTAATACTAATACTAGTATATTAGCCAAGGACACTATCTGTCTCTTTGTCTCTGTGTCTGTCCCTCACCAATCGCCCTCTTTTCTGTCTCTTTCACTCTTCTTCTTCTTTTTTTTTTTGGCAGTACTGGGGTTTGAACTCAGGACTCAAGCTTGTTAGGCAGGTGCTCTATCAGTTGAGCCACTTGCCAGCCCTTTCCTTTTTTTCTTTTTTTTGAAACCTCATCTTGCTATGTTGTCCAGGCTCCTGGGATCAAGTGATTTTTCACCCCTCAGCCTTTTAAGTAGCTGGGACTACAGGAGCACCTCTGGAAACCTGGCTGACTTCCATATTAATATGGAAAGAGCTCCTACATATGAATGAGGAAGAGGGGTAAGAGCTGGTTGTAGTGGTGAGTGCCTGTAGTCCTATGTACTGGGGAAGCTGAGATAAGAGAATTGCTTGAGCCCAGGAGTTTAAAGACTAGCTTGTGCAGGGAGAAACTACATCATTAAAAAAAATGTGCTTGAGGACTTGGGGATATAACTGAGTGGTGGAGCACTTGTCTAGAATGGGCACAGTCCTGTGTTTGATCCCCAGCACTGCAAAAATAAATACATAAACAAGAACCAAACAAACTAAGGTACATGAGAATGTAGTTGGAGATGTGCCTGTGATTCTTCAGCAGAGATAGGAGCAACTGGGTTTTGTCTCAAATTTCACTTTAGCTTCTTCAGGGTGTAAAGATTGAGCAAGGGACATGCTGCCTATTTGGAATAACTCCAAAAAAAAAAAAAAGGTGTGTGTGTGTGTGTGTGTGTGAAAGCATGGGTGTAGTTCAGTTTATTTCTTAAGTGTTTTTTACATTTAAATAAAAATGGGTTGGCCCTTTGGCCAGAAAGAGTGAATGGTGGAGGTGGAGGAAGGAAACTCCCCAGGAGTTTAGAGAAGCTCATATCCTGAAAGAAAGGGGGGGACTTTGAGGGAAGTTCCAGGACTTAACTCACTCCCCAAAGCTGCATCCAGTGCTACCTGTGGGGATGAGCCCGGAGGCCCTGATCCAGTTCCTAGGGCATTGGAGGTCTCCAGTCCAATGGATCCTAGGTCCCCAGTGTGCACCCAGTGGCTTCAGTACCTGGAACAGGAACCTTTTTGGCTGGGAGCAGAACCAGAGGGAGTAGCTGGGAGGTCTGGGCTGAGCCAGAGATTGGGGCCAGTGAGTTGGGGGTGCAAGTCTGGAAACAGTGAACTATTTATGTGCCTCAGGAACTGCAGGAATCTGCTATTCAGCTTCCCATGTGTACTTTCTGGGGAGGCCAACCTTTCCCTCTCCTTCCCTGTTTCCTGGCCTGCTCTCTGAGGGTTACTGAGAAAGAGCAAGGATAGGTGGTAGCAGGACACTCACCCCATCCACATGCCCTCTGGAAGGAAGGAGGTGTGAATTAGAGAGACTTTGTGTCCCCTGTATCTGTAGCAGCCTATTCTTGTGTTTCATTTTGCTTTTTGTTTGTTGTTTTGTGGTTCTGGGGATCAAACCTGTGTTACTTACTAGGCAAGTACTCTACTGCTGAGCTACATTGCCAAGATGCTTCCTTTGGGGTGTGTGTGTGTGTGTGTGTGTGTTTGAGATGGGAATCTTGCTTTGTAGTCCAGGCTGGCCTTGAACTACCAATTCCCCTGCTTCAGCCTCCACGGTAGTTGGAATCACCACTGTGCTGGGCTTTTTTGTTTTGATCTAGGTTGTACGTTGGTATTAGTGATATTTCAAAGGAAGGTGTTGCTCCTAGGATTCTCCTCCTCAGTGCCCTGAGAGGAACCCCTAGACAGGGGCATAGTCAGTGCTTTCTTTGGAGTTGGTCCAATTCCCCTCCCACACTGCATCTACAGAACAGGGCAAGAGAACAGAATCACCCCATCACTGGCACTTCAGGTGTGCAGAGAACTCAGGTGCCTCAGGGCTGCCTCAGACTTTATTCAAAGACCAAGAGGCTCAGGTGTGGGACCAGGAGCAGGCAGGCAGGGGATGGGCTCTGGAGGCTCCAGCTTCATGGATATTTGGAGGTCTGCACTTCAGCCAAGAACTTGTCCAGAGAGATGAGGATAAAGGGGTGAATTCAGCTGGGTGGTGGCTGGCCAGGGTCACGATACACAGTGACTTAGGTGCTGTAGAGAGAGGAAATCTGTCAGTGTTCATAGAGACCCTGGCAACAGCCTGTGCTCCACATTTTCCAATATATGGGGTTTTGTGTTCTGTGCGCAAGGCCTGTTGCACCCTCCATGCCCTCTCCCTCCCTCCAGGCCTGCCTGTGCACTGACCTTGAAGTTGACCTGGTCCACAAGCAGCTTGTGAGTGTGCAGTTCACGTAGCCCTGACTGGGCACTCTGAAGGTCATCCACATGGTCCATTGCATTGGCTAGAACAGCAGCTCCCTTCTTTCCATGGGCCTTACCTGAGCAGAACTGGGGTTCAGGTCTAAGTGGGGGAAGGAGGTCTTGGTGAGAGGAAAGCCCAGAAATATCCTTTGGGGAGAATTGTGGGTGGGTGGGATTGGGGATGGTCCAGTACAAGGACAGAGTTGCTGGAGGCTGTAGGATAACCTTGAATTCCAGGTCCGTTCAGGTATGGGGGGGTTCTCCTATTTTCACAGACTCTGCCCCATATTCTGTGCATTGCTGATAACCTTGTTCCAGGCAGCCATGATGTTGGCTTTGTCATTAGAAGACGTCATCCAGAAGACAAAGGGTTCTTTCTGAGCTGTGTTAGAACTAGAACTGTGCTGGACTGCAGAGCTAGGTACTTTTATGTCTGGGGTGCAGATGTTGGTGGGGGCTTGAGTGGCTGGCATGGCTGCTGTAAATCTCTCAGCCCTGAGTAGGCAGAGACCAAGCTCTCTATATTGTAACCTTCCATGTACTGTGGGTCTTGCACAGTTTCCTGAGACCCCTAAGCTCTCAGTGCATCCTTGTGTGGTCCAGGCCCAGGGCACATTTAAAGGTGCCATTTACTGGACTGAGGAGGAAAGTGCAATCTTTTCTGAACCGAAATATAAGTTGCTTTCTACTGAGCTTCCCTCAGGATGTAGAGCTGTTAATTGTGCAAGTAAACAGGAGTGGGGTGGTAGAGCAGATAACGCAGGGTCAAGTTCTAGAAGATCCCCTCCTCTCACTGGTCAGCCAGTGCAACTCAGGGTAGTAGATCCTTGACACCAACTACTGGGGAGGTTGGAAGAGTTTTGGCCAGGGCTTAGCTTCCAGCATCCCTCTTCAGACCTGGGGCTGTCTGTCTGCACAGAAGGGATTGTCATTCTGGGAGCCATCCATTTCAGGGTTTGCAGAGCTCCAGGATCTCACTCCCTTCTTCAGTCCGTTCTTTGCCTACAAAGGATGGGAATTCTGAGATTCTTGCTCCCAAGCCAGCCAGAGAATGTATAGACAGGACTTAGGTAAGGGTGTACTTGGAAGGGAGCCCTGCGGAGTCTGAAATGTAAGGGCTGGGGTGTAGGGTGGTCACTAGCCTGCCAGGTCTTACAAAGATCTAGTGAGCTCAGGGTTATTTTTCCACCAGGGTGGGGATCAGAGAGCTCAGGCTCAAAATCACCCAGCCGTCTGCCAAATCCTGGCCACCAAGGACTCTTTTTCCACACCTACCACAAGGTGTGAGGTTCAGAGGAAGAGGCTAACCTGGCCTTGGGCAAAGTCTGCTGCAGAGGGGACACCTAGAGAGGAAAGGATCAGGGATTTGGAGGTCTAAGTCCCCCAACTGTGCCTGGCCTCAGGCCACACACCCTTGACCCCCTGCATGTCTACACAAACCAGGAAGACTCCCTCCTGCAGGATCCACCAGTGGTGGAGACGGAGGGAGAATGAATGAATGAGAAAATATAGACTTGCTTTGCAAGTGGTATGGCATTCCCTGGTGCCAGAGTTGGGGTGGAAACGAAGATGCCCCCCAAATCTGATCATCTCCTTTGCCCATTGCACTCCCACACCACAGGAGGACAAGCCTTTGGGTTGACATGTAAGAGTTCTGGGAGATTCACTGAGAGATCCCGAACTACTCTACTAAGCACAGTGACATAACCTTGCTTGCTTTCCAAAAAGACCACACAAACGTTTGAGGCTTCTGTTTATTGACATCCGGACAAAGGCCTGCGGGATTCAGGCATCAGAGGTACTTTTCAGTCAGCACCACCGCCACGCCGCCTGCATCTCCACCTTGAACTCGCCCTGCAGGTGGGAGGCCAGTACCACCTGGAAACACTGGATTGGAAGCTGCGGGAGAAGGGGCAGATGAGAGGACATCTGCTCCACCAACTCCTCGTGGCGCACCCTCCAGCTGAGCGCTGGACCCCGAAGGGGCTCACCGAAAAACTGGCGAGGTCCACTCGCATCACGGCCGCGGGCAAGTCGGCCAGCGGGCTCCGAACCGCGCTCGGGCTGTTGCACGGCCACGCCCACCGCCTGGGACACGCGCCGTCCGTGGCGCAGCCGAAGCACCTGGTTCGGGCAGGCGCCCAGGTGCCGGAAGCAGAGCTTGGCGAAGGGGTATACAGTGAAGGGCCTGCTGGAGCAGGTCCATGAGCCGGCAGGGTGCCCACGTGGGCTCCACAGCCCCAGCCCCATCCAGTGCCCTGTACCCCGGTCTCTGCCTCCTGGAGACCCCGGAGTTCCCGCCCCTACCCGCCCGGAAATGCGCGACGTGGGCGCTGAGCGTGGCGCGGGCCTGGCGTAGTCTGGGGACCGCGTCTGCCGCTCGGGCCTCCATGTAGAGGCCGCTCCCCTGGCACCCGATCCGCAGTTATCGGCGGTACCTTGGCGGGAACGCCGGGACCCTCTGCCTGTGCTCAGAAGCGTGGTCTTCGCAGCGTGGAGGCCACGGCCTCCGTGACCCTGGCGTTTCTGGCAGGGGCTCACGCAACTGTGTGTGTGGCGCTTGCTGAGACTCGAGATTTGTAATCACCCTGTGCAGGCCTGGTCCTACTCTGCCGGACAGCGGACAAAAAGCGGGCAGGAAATCCCCATTCCTTTAGGTGCCCCGCGTCACTAGCGGGAGTTGTGCTATCAAGCTTTGAGTGAACCTCTTGCAGATCTGGAAGGTGGGGAGAGGCGCAAACGCACTCGAGGACCCTCGTGGGACGGCCCAGGGGTGCCCCGTTCCCTCCGGGCTGCGACCCTGGGGGGGGTCTCAGGGACCAGAACCTCCCCAAAGCACCCTCGCAGTGTCCTCCAGGCATTGGAGGTTCTACCGCCCTCCACGTAGCCCCCAACGCATCCCTCTGCGGCTCCCCTCCTGCCCTCCAACGCTGAGAACGCAGAACCCAGTTCGCTCCTTCCTCAACCATTTATTGGGGATTCGGGGAAGGATCTGCGGAGGGTTCGGGGAGGGCATGGGCCGCAGCCCGTCGTGAGGGTCGCGGCGGCGGCGCTTAGCGGTACTTCTCAGTCAAGATGGAGGACAAGATCGACATGAACTTGTCCCAGGCGGCGTGGACCTCAGCCGTGAAGTCGGCGGGGAAGCGCGCGGCCAGGGTGACCAGCAGACAGTGGGACAGGAGCTGCGGAACACGGATGGCGTCTCAGTGCACTGTGCAGGAGCGGAGTCTTCAGCGAGACCCGGTCCCTAGCCGCGGCCTTGGCCTCGCGCCGAGGACCCCAGCCGGGTCCCCCTCCCCGCCCCTCCCGCCTCGCGCCCACCTTGAAGTTGACCGGATCCACGCGCAGGATGTAGGCGTGCAGCTCGCTCAGCTTGGTCAGGGCGCTGGGGATGTTGTCGATGTTCTTGACCGCTTCGCCCACGGCGGACAACACCTTGGCGCCGTGTGCGCGCAGCTGCTGCGACCCCTGGTGCAGGTCGAAGTGGGGGAAGTAGGTCTTCGTTTGTGGATAGCTGTAGAAGAGCCTAGGGGCGAATGGGGGCGTGAGGTGGGGGTGTTACTCGGGTGTGTTGGTGACACCCAGGCGTTTGCCTTAGGCCTATGGAAAGGGGCTCCAAAAAACAAAACGAAAGAAAAAACCAGCAGCCAGGAAAGTACTATTTTAACAGTATTTTTAAAAATTAAAACGAATGCAAAACAATCCATGTTGAACAAAACATTAAAATTTTAAGTAAGACAGGATTGATATTGCTGATTTTTCCTGTGCCCGAGGTTCCAGTGTGGCAAGGCACTGCCTCCCCCACTGCCCACCATTCATTCATTCAACATGTGTTTACCCTCTCTACCTCCTCTTGTTGCACACTGACCCAAGAGGGCCCTTCCTCACCACCATGATCTTCACAGTCCCCGCCTTCTTGGCCCTCCTCACTATCCCTCTTTACCACCCCTTTCACAGTCCCTTGTTTTTTTCTTTAATTAAATTTTATTTCATTTTTGGTGGTGGTACTGGAGTTTGAATTCAGGGCTTGCTAGGTAGGCATTCTACCTTTTGAGCCACACCTCTGTCCCTCACAGTCCCTTCTTGACAGACTCTTCTCACCATCTTCTTCTGACTGACCTTCCTCACAACATCACCCCTTCTTACTACCCCTAACCTTCACAGTCCCTTCTTTCTCTTTTTTTTTTTTGGTGGTGGTGGTGATACTGGGGTTTGAACTCAGGACTTGTTAGGCATGCACTCTACCACACTTCCAGCCCACAGTCTCTTGACTGATCCTCCTCACCATCCCTCACCAACCTCTTCTCTTGCCTCTGATCTGGTCACTCAGGCCCTCTTGTCTGGCACTTACCTCTCCAGAGTCTCAGTGCCAATGGCATCAACCTGCAAGGAGATCTTGTCCCAAATGGACGTGATAATGGCCCTCTCACTCTTGATCAGAGACATGGCGGCAATGGTGGATGGCTGTGCTGGAGCTGGTGCACTCAGGACTGACCTGCTGGTGCTCGTCCCCAGGGTCCCCTTATATACACAGAGCTGGGGCCCGGCCAGGCTGTGGCCACCTGTTGGGAGAGGGGAGGGGGCTACACGGGTGGAGTTTGTTATCAGGCCCAGCAAAAATGGGAGTCAGAGCCTGGTGGGACTGGTGGGGTGAGAGGCTATCACTCCTGCCCCCCCCACCTCAGACTTAGAGGGGCGTTGGCCATAGTCCAGCACAGAATCCAGGACCGATAGGGGCCCAGCCATCCCAGGAGGTCATTCTTGTGTTCGAAGTCCAGTTCTGCAAGGTTCTTACCCATTTCAGAATCATAAACTGGGGCCCAGCATTGCCTTCCTGGGGACATCCCTACCATGCTGCTATGCCATCCACTTCCCCTCGTGCTGTGATTCCTGGGTCTCCTCCATGAAAGCAAGTTTCCTCTCTCCACAGCTGGAGGGGAGACCAGCAGGAGTGGGTGGCGGATCAGCAAAAGAGATTTAGGGAGTGCAATATAGGCCTCGCAACCAGCCATTCTTGAGACAAATATTCCTTTTAATTTTATTTTAACATAAAATAAAATTGACTTCTGAATTCAGCACATATATAGATTTTGTAACCATAGCCATAATAAGGACACAGAACAGCTCCATCATCCCATAAACTCTCGTAGCTCCCCAGTCTTACCCTCATCCTACCCTCTGATAGCCACTCTAATTCCATGTTTTTCAAGAATAGTGTATAACTGGAGTCATATATTGCTGTGACTTTTTAAGAATGGCTTCTTTTTTTTTTTTTTTTGATGACACTGGAGTTTGGCCTCATGCCAATGCTACCACTTGAACCATTCTGCCACCCCATTTTTTGTAATTTCTTTTTTCTAAGATAGAGTTTCTCTCCTGGGGCTGGCTTTGAACCGGGATCCTCCTGATCTCTGCCTCCTGAGTAGCTAGGATTAAAGGCGTGAGGCAGCAGTGCCTGGCAGAATGGCTTCTTTTACTTAGCATAATACTTTTTTTTTGGTGGTGGTGGTACCTCATGCTTGCCAGGCAGGTGCTGTACCACTTGAGCCACTCTGCTAGCCCAGCATAATATTCTTGAGATTCATTCAAGTTGTTACATGTATCAATAGTTAGTTCCTTTTTACTCCTTGGTATGAATGCAAACAGTTATCTTCTCACTCACTAAAGGACATTTGGACTCTATCTACTTTGAGGCTATTACAAATAAAGATGCTGTGTTCACACACAAGTCTTTTTTGTGGTGCTGGTGATCAAAGCCAGGGCCTTGCAATGCTAAGTAAGCGCTCTACCTCTGAGCTACATCCCTCACTTTCATATATAGTTTTTGTATGGACATAAGTTTCTATTTTCTAGGATAATACCATAGAATTTGCTGGGTCTTATGCTAAGTACGTATTTAACTTTATAAAAAATTGTCACACTGTTTTCCTTAGTGGCTTCACCCTTTTTTGCATTCCTATCAGTGACCTTGCTGGCATTTTTGTCACTGTTTTGACAGGTGTGTAGTGACAAGGCATTGTTGCTTCAGACTGCATTTCCCTGATGGCCAGTGATGTGGAGCATCTTCCCATATACTTGTTTGACACCTGTATATCCTCTTTGGTGAAATAGTTGCCTATTGAGTTGCTTATTTTTTACTAGTGAGATTTTTAATAAGAGATTTGTGCATATTTTGGATGTAATCCTTTGTCAGATATGTGATTTGCAAACATTTTCTCCTAGTTTGCAGTTTTTCAGTTCATCCTCTTTTTTTTTTGCTGGTACTGGGGTTTGAACTCAGGGCCTCACTCTTGCTAGGCAGGCGCTCTACCACTTGAGCCACTCCACCAGCCCAGTTCATTCTCTTAATAATGCCTTTTGTACACTGGAGGCTGGAGCTTCATAAAGAAGTTTATTTAGTTCACAGTTTTGGAGGCTGACTACCCAAGACCAAACCACACCCCATGAGTTTGGCCTCTGTTGAGTGCAACGATATGGGTGGCGTCACAATGGCAAAGGGCATACAATGATAGTGGAGATCACAAAGTCAGAGAGGAAGCCAGAGGAATTTGGGGCATAGCCTTGCTTTTTTTATAACTTACATTCATAGGTACTAACCAGCTTCCTGCACTAATCCAGGGTGGTGTCCTCATTGACCTATCCTCCCTCCACTGGGCCCTGTCTCCTAGAGTTTCCACCATCTTAACATGACCACACTGGCAACCAAACCTCTTGCACATGAACCTTTAAGACACATTCAAGCCATTTCCAAACCATGGCAAGTGCAGTTGTTTTAAAACTTGTTTTAGTGTAAGAAATTAGTCATTGAAAGATACTTTACTCAGAAGTCTGGACTGTAAAGAAGATAAAAATGGAATTGCTTAAGTTAACTCTGTTTGTGTGGGGGCAAGGAGTAGTATTACTCACTGGGCCTCTCTAACTTAACTCCACCTCTCACTGCTTCACCTGGTCCAGATGGCAGAAGTCCTCACCTCTGGCCAAATGAGTCCAGCAGCTGTGACCTTGGTTAACTACCTTTACATTTGTACACTTTTCTCTTTTTAACTATGGTTCTTGAATGCAACCCACCCTGTCTACTTGGCCCCCTTGGCTTCAGAACTCATGTATTATGTTTACACTCAAAGTTTTATTTCCTGTTCCACGTCCCATATTCTTCCATGACTTAAATGTTTCTTGTCTTTTGATCATGCATATTTGATATTTATTTTAGAGTGTTTTGGTTACTGTGACAAAACATCTGAGAGGAACAATTTAAAGGAGGAAAAATTTTATTTTGGCTGATGATCACTTGGTCCCGTATCTCATGGGGTGAGGCAGAAATTATGTTGGGGAGCACATGGGGAAGAAGTTGCTCACCTCATGGCAGCCAGGAAGCAGAGACAGAAAGAAGAAGGGTCCAGGGACAAGATACACCTTTCAAAGGCATGTTTTCCGTGACCTTCTTCTCCCAACCAGATTCCTGCTCCTAACATCCATTTAGCCATGAATTCATGGATTGATCTCTCAAAGGCCCATTTATGGCAACCAAGCCTTTATCACATAAGCCTTTGGGGGGACAATTTTAGACTCAAACCATACTATCTCTCCTCCTTTTCTCATTCTAGCAATAGTATTAGTCAGTCCCACAACAATTTTGACATGGTTTTTCTTCCTGTTTGACTTCTCCTTCTTTTTGCTCCTTCTGTTAGTGATGGGTACCTGCTGATGGCTATGCCTTTGGAGCTGCAATCACAAGTCTAGCCAACCCTCTCACTACCGTCTCCATCACAGAATCAGGTCTTTTCAGAGTGAACAAGGGCCATGATGGTTTCTACTATATCACCTCAGTTGAGGTTTCTGCTTTCAACAAAATTTACTCACCAGACCTAGCTCTTAAGATCACCTGTGTTTTTGCCTCTATCAATGGAGTTTCCTTTGTTGAAGAAAAAGTATGTTTTCCTCACCTATATGAGATTTGAAAGGCTTATTTTCCCCAAGTTCAGAATACAGAGGCACACAGAGCCAGTGAGATAATAAAATATCACCTTTGTTCTTAATAAAACTGTTGCAGAAAAAAAATAATGCCTTTTGTAGAGGAAATGTTTTAATTTTGAGGAAGTCCAATTTATCAAGAGCTCTGCCTAACAATAAGACACAAAGATTTTCATCTACAATTTCTTCTAAAAGTTTTCTAGTTTTTGCTTTACATTTAGATATATGATCCATTCTGACATTTTTTTGTGTAAGGTGTGAGGTTTAGATCCAGATTAATTTTATTTTGTCTGTGGATGTCTAATTGCTCTACCTGCCACTGTTTGTTGAAATATATCCTTTATTTATTTATTTATTTATTTATGTGGTACTGGGTCTTGAACTCAGGGCCTTCACCTTGAGCTACTCCACCAGCACTTTTTTGTGATGGGTTTGAGATAGGGTCTCTTGAACTATTTGCCTGGGCTACTTTCAAACCGAAATCCTCCTGATTTCTGCCTCCTGAGTAGCTAGGATTACAGGTGTGAGCCACCAGCGCCAGGCTATCCTCTATTTTCACACATCATTTTTCTGGACTCTCTATTCTTTTTTTGAGGGGGGTAGGGTCTCATTCTGTAGTCTAGGCTGGCCTTGAATTCCTGACCCTCCTGCCTCTGCCTCCCAAGTGCTTGTACCACCAGTGTGTACCACCACACTGGAAATAGGCATCTATTCTTCTCCACCATCACACTGTTTGATTACTATAACTTTATAGTAAATCTTAAAGTTGGATAAAGTCCCACACATGAAAGAAAATATTTAATAATCATATGTCTGATAAATAACTTATTCCCCCCAAGAAGGGCTTATCAAAAATAGGAGGCAAAGTTATAGCTCAGTGGCAGAGAGCTTGTTCAGCGTGAGCAAGGCCATGGGTTGAATGTGTAACACCAGAAACAAACAAAACCAAGATGGAAAAATTTACCCAAGGTACTTTAAAAAATGTATTACAACTCAAGTTGCTGGAGTGGCTCAAGTGGTAAGAGTACCTGCCTAGCAAGCATGAGGCCCTGAGTTCAAGCCCCAGTATGGGTATATATATATATAAAACAACTCAAAAAACAGGCAATCGATTTAAATTTAAAAGTGGGCAAAGAATTTTTTTTTGGTACTGGAGTTTGAACTCAGGGCCTCATGCTTATTAGGCAGCCGCTCCTCCACTTGAGTCACTCCACAAGTCCTGGGCAAAGAATTTTAATAGACATTTCTCCAAGAAAGATAGGCGGAGCTGGGCATGATGATGTCTGTAACCTCAGCACTCGGGAGGCAGAGGCAAGAGGATGTGAGTTCAAGGCTCATCCAGGCAAAGGTAGTGAGACATCATCTCAAAAACAAAATAGATGATGAGAATGATGTAACTAATGTACAATATAAATCTAATTGGAATTGTCACCCTGAATAAAGAATATAAACTAATAAAAACTTACAAAATAAGTAGTCTTTCCTCTGTTGCAAAAAAAA